TTCTCTCTAGTTCACTCTCATTTTTCCATTCTCTCCTCTCTTTCCTATCTCTCTCTCTCTCTTGCTCTCTCACCTTGCTTACTCTTTTTCTCTCTAGCTTTTCCTTTCTCTCTCAGTCCCAGTTTCTCTCTATACCTCACTGTCACTCCCTCATTTTTTCTTTCTAGCTTTTTCTAGCTTATCTCATTTTTCCTATTTCCTTTTTTCTCTCGCTTCTCTCTATACCTCACTCTTTCACTCTCCTTCATTCTGTCTCTCTTCCTCTATCTCTCTCTCTCTCAAGCTCACTCTCTAGTATCTAGCTCACTCTCTCATTTTTTACTCCCTCGCTCACTCTAGCCTTACCGCTCTCTTTTTCCTCACCCCTTTCACTTCTTCTCTTTCTCCTGCGCTCTCTTCCACCTCTGCCTGCTCTTTTCCTTCCATTCCATCTCTCCTCTCTTGCACAGGTTTGGCAGCGCTCACGTCAACCGAGTGGATTAGCATAACTTTCGATTTTTCTCTCCCTCTCCTTTTGTTCTCTTGTTATTTATTTATTTATTTGTTTATTTATTTGCTCAGACTGAGCTAGATCTGCCAGGAGAGAGTAAAGTCATTTTCTGTTTGAATGTCAAAGTCTGCAGGACTGAGGAAACTTGCCTTGCGGTGTTACGAACTAGTCCATATGACATACGCTCAGCTGAGCTTTCCGCATTATACAGCACATATGAAGCACTAGATGTTTCTTATTTTTCTAATCCTGTGTTTAGTGCCCTACAAATGAGACTCATAGAAGCAGGTCTTTAGTCAAACATAACGTAAGCCTGTAATATGTGGTTGTCACACTAGGATAAAGGAATAGTTTGGCAAAAAATCTGATTCACACAGTTTACTTTTTACCCGCAAATGTTGTCGATTTGCCAAGACATGCTATAAAAATGGACAAAAGTAAGTACAAAATTCAGTATTCCAGGTAGTTGCTACTACTGCTTTTGGCTTTGTGATGTACTTTTGTCCATTATACATATTAATATGTCATATGGTGTCAGAAACCACATAAGATTACTTAACAGCTCAGCATGATTTGAGACAAGTATGTGATGATTTACGCATGCAGTTTACACTATGCTAATCGCTTTCATGCTAACAAGCTTACAATACTCCTTGCTAATAGCTCCATTACTGGCTCCATTACATTACTAACTACCTCCAAAGAAAACTTTAGACATATCTTGGCTAGGCGACTGCATTTGATCTAAGCAAACTATGTGAATTCCAATTTTTGTTGAATTATTCCTTAAAAGGGGAATTCCACAGATTTTTCAAAATGTAAAAATTTCTGCCTAATTAAACAGTGCAGATGTAAACAAAGTCATTCAGAGTGGTTTGGTGTAAAATGTTCCATTCTAGAGAGTCAAAATTGTTCACAGTGGTGGTGATAGGAACTAGACGTGCCTCTGCAAGCTACATCACATAAAAATATTATATCAAATGTTTACAAATACCTGTTTTATGACAGTTTTGAGAAGGTTTTCGCCTGTTTTCTGAATGCATTCATGGTGGAGAGGCACCTGCGAGGTATTGTGAGGCAAAATAGTAGCCAAAGAAAACCGTTTTTTCAGCTTTACTACTTTTTTTATAATCATCACCATTACATATAAAACCTCAGAAGACACATGTAGGTTTTGGTTACTAAATCGCTGCTGTCGGAACAAGACCTTGTATCTCCAAAATGTTAACTTTACAGGAGAAGGAAAAAACATACTTTATTTTCAATGTAAGTCAAAGGAACAAGACATTTTCCAAATCATTTTGGGCCTTTTCATTTGGACCATTCATTGTGAAATTTGAACACAATGTAAAGAGCAATAGGCATTTTCAAATTTTCTCAAAAACGGGAAGAAAATTGAGATAGAAGGTTTTGTTCTGGCAGTGAAATAAAGTAACTATATGCGTGTTGTAGACATCATGACCCATGGTTCCTGTCACCACCACTGTAAAGAAAACTGAATGGGTAAATTTATCTACAACTAACCATTTCACACCACACCACTCTGAGTGACTTTGTTTACATCTCAACAATTGAATTATGCAGGAATTTTGAGCAATCAGTGTAGGTCCCCTTCCAGTAGCCTATGCTGAGCATAAGCCAAAATGCACTAACCTCAGATGGTGAGAGTTTGAATAGAAAGTGTTTCTTTGCTTTGCTTTTTACCTTCCTGTAGCCCCACCCTGTTGCCTTACTTCTCGCTGTGGTCCACCTGTTCTCGTGCGTCCAGGCATGCAACAGACGCGTGTGGTCACACACCCTCATGCAGTCTCCTCAAACTCCTGTGACGCGCTCGGTAGAGGAGAAACGCCCCCAAAAATGATGCTCCTTAAGCCTATAGTGTCTATGGAGTCCATAGCCGCCCCTATTGATTGAAGTCTTGTCTGATCTTGACCCTGGAGACACACAAATCCAATTTAAGTTTGTCATCATGCAGTGAAAGCCGTAGGGAACCTCAGATCGGCTGGAAAATCTGACTCAGAATCAGCTGCTCGGTGAAATTAAAGCTTGCTGGGATGGCAAGTCTCTTAAAAATATGCATCATTATTGTTTCTCCCCCTGTGTCTGCCTCCCTCCCGGCTGAGCTGGTAATGGTAGTGTGGTGTTATTCTAAACTGCTGCCTGAATAAATTGGCACTGAGAAAGAAATCTTTAGTGTTTCTGAAGAAATTTTTATATTGCTAGGTGAGAGCAGGTTTTTTGTTCTCTTTCATGTTTTTTCCCTCTTAGTTATGCTGTAAATCCAGATGTTTAGGTTTGAAACATTTTTCTTCAACACTTTGTAAATGTGTCATGTTGTTTAGCTGAGCAATTCCCATATTTGAGAACACCTTGAGGAAAGCTTGGCCAGAACATCAAATAAACATCAGTGTTTAAAGAATTTGATGTAGCATGTAAACATACCCAGTTCACACAGTTTTGTGATGTCGCTTTTATCCAAGACATATTTAGCTTATTCAGCCTATTTAGCTTACAGCAGTTTAGCCCGAAGCTTCACATCCAAGCTATAAGGAGTTTTTCGGCCTAGACTGCTTACTGAATAAGGCGTAATACAAGGCAGCCAATCAGAACAGAGATTGTTTTAAGCCTACTGCAAACGCATCACACAGCGTTCAAATATTTAACCATTGTTTTTAATAAAAGTGCTCACGCTGCCACTGACATTCGGCAACTCCCACCACTGCTCAGTTTCTCTGAGCGCCACAGTGCGCCACAAAAGTTGAACAGGGCAAACACTGATATTTTTTATATTGCTGAAATTGTAGTTGAAAAGTTTAAAATGTTGTAAAAGTACAATTTTGCTTTGTGCTGTTTCACTCAGAGTGTTTATTTGAGTTGAAAAAGTGCAGTTAACCATGTGAAATACATATTTTAGGTTGAAGGTTTAGATGAAGATCTGTTTTTGCGGTGCGCCTTTTTCGATAGTAGCTATAGTGGATAATAAGCATAGATGTCAACCACAGCTTCCAAACTGTATTAACTCACTGATACCTGTATAGAACATTTCTACCATTAATATCATTAGCCACAACAGCAGTTTATCCAGTGTTGATTTTCTTTACAGTGATATATTCCTTTGGTAATCATACTGATTATTTCATACACAGTCTGAAATGTATTTTTACTTTGACAGTTCAAAATAAGCAGCTAAACAGCCTCTAACACAGTTAAATACACATACTAACAGAATCAAAAGCAGTCAGAGAGAGAGAGAGCAGAGTTAGGCTGTGTTCTGTGATGAACTGGCACAACAAAAAGTCTCTAATGATGTAGTATTATTTGCAATATGTGAGATCGAGGGGCAAATGTATCTTTGCTAATGCATGTTTAAGTTGCTCTCCAGATGCAGCAATTTTAGTTTTTTCTACAGTTAGACAGAATGATGATCTGATTATTTTAGCAGTGCATATCTTGATGCTTTGGCTCAGTTCTCTCATGAGGTGATATCTCTGTTGTCTGTGTACAGCATGGGCAACAAAAGAATTTCACGTAAATCAGTATATCTATGCTCACGCCCCACCACCCACAGTCTGATCAGATTGCAGTTTAAAATAGTAAGTTGAAAAACACAGAAAGTAGAAAACAAATCTGAGCACGACAGAATTATTGTCCAGAGTTTCCCGTATCCTAGATTTATATGGCCGTATGCCTACAAACCTGTGACAAAACTGTGTTTTATACAGGTAAAACTGTGGGTTGACACCTATGAGTAAGTGACATTGAAATTTACGCCAAGAAAGGCAGTCAGTCTGAAGTGTTTAGGATAAACAGACAAATGCTAATGGTCTGTGACCTCAGCTACACTGGTGTATTTTCCCCTCGTATCTTAAAGCTCAGAAACATTAAGTTTGTTAAGAGTTTCTTAGCTGAAACCAAATGTGATGTATTCAATAAACAGTGTTAAAATCTACATGTATAATAAACTTCAGCTTAATGTTTATCAGTTCTATGTGGTGTAGCTGGTGGTGTCTGTTTAACGTTGTGGTCAAGCTTTCTCCAATTTGTTTCTCAAATTTTCCGCCTAAATATTTGAAATTATGTACAGCACTGAATCAACTCCTGCAAAGTTAAACTCCATCTTTGTAGGGATATTTAACTCTAGCAGTTAAGCAAAGCGCTAACACTACCTGAAATGGCAAACTTAAAGGATTTCTGTGACCTTAAGCACACAATATTTCCCTACGGATTCGTTTGTGTTAGTTTATTAGACCGACTGGTTGACCTTTCTTTTCCTTTAATAATCTGAATTCCTATTTATTTCGTTTGTTTTTATACCACTATACCGCACTGTCTGGTACCCTTCTTTTATTTTTAGCAACATGCCCTTTTAAGTGTAATGACATGTTCTCATTCTGCTGATTCTAATGGCCAGCTCCTCAAATGAGTCTACATAAGTATATATAGAAAACCCACATGTTCGTTTGCCATTATTGTTATCTCCGTCTCTTGTTCTTTCTATTTTCTGCTGCAGTTCGTCGAGTGCCACCTCGTTTCACCATCCTCCCCTCCAGTCACGAGATCATGCCGGGGGGCAGCGTGAACATTACCTGTGTGGCGGTGGGCTCCCCCATGCCTTATGTGAAGTGGATGCTGAACTCCGAAGACCTGACCCCCGAAGACGAGATGCCAGTGGGGCGGAACGTTCTGGAGTTGAACGGTGTCCGCGAGTCAGCCAACTACACCTGCGTGGCCATGAGCAGCCTGGGCATCATAGAAGCCGTGGCTCAAGTCACCGTTAAATGTAAGCTGGAGGTTTAACGATTGGGTGATCTTGTCAATTGCCATCATGTAGCTAGGTACACTGTTAATTGTTGCTAGGATTACACAGTATTTAACACTAACATTTCACAGCAAAACACTGTATTTATTGTTTTATTGTGAAATCAGCTCATTTCAAATATTTGTAATAACAAAGAAAATGTGTTAACAAAGAAAACTGAGGTCATCGTTGAGCTGTACCGCACAGCATTATGGGTAATGATAGTAAGTGACAGTTAAAAAGGCATAAACATTTTAATTAAACATTTTTATTCTGAAGATCCAGGTTTCAGCACTCTAAAGACTTTTATGCTGTTTTATGATGGATTTTATATTTATTTTTTTATTTTTTTGATTAAGTACTAAAACACTGAGTTGCTGACAAAAATGTTTATTGGTGTTTCCTGATTTGGAAATTAAGTTGTAAAACATGTATTTGCATTTAAATCAATATATTTAAGATTTTTTTTTATTAACGTAGCAATAGGTGTGATCAAATTAAAAGTCCTTTTTTCATATGTTTCATTTACAGTAAATTACTGGCTACTGAGTAGCATTTTTATTTTTACATTTTTACAGTTATGTAAAAATACAGGAGATTACTGTATTTTAATTACAGTCATTATGTACAGCAGAATACAGCTACATCACAGTAATCTTATGGTGCAGGTAACTGGAGTCACAATATACAACTACTGTTTTACTGTTATTTACAGTTAATATAATACAGTAAATTGCTGTGAAAGTAATGCAGCTAGTAGCCACTAATTTAATGTAATTTTACAGTCAGGGTCCTTTTAGTGTACATAGTGTAGTGTTTTAGTGTAACGAATGAACGAACAGTATATTTACATTTGATTCATGCTTTGCATCAACAGATTCAAATCTCCACTTCTGATTTGGTGTCAGTGATAAATACATGGCAAAAATGAAAAGGATTTTTTTGGTACTTATCAACAAATTCACATCATAATAAATAAAATATCTCCTTTTGTACATACAAACACAAACTATTGATTGAAAGCTTAGAATCCACACGGTTTAATAAGCCTTGAGTGCTGAATAAATTAATAAACCTTTCTTTTGTTGTTAGCAGCAACATCTGAGGGTTAAATGTTTAGGAAAGTTTGATATTAAGTAATGTGGAAAGGCTGAGATGTCAAAATCACTGCCTTAAGTTTATTACTTCTGCTGGAAGACACCATCTGTTGTTTGTTATTTTGACAGTAGCTCTATATATTTACTTCTTCTCTGTAAAAACTCTTAATAAAGTGGTAATACTTTGTTTTCTCTGGTGACAGCATTACCCAGAGCTCCTGGGACCCCCATCGTCACAGAGACCACCGCGACCAGTGTTACCATTACCTGGGACTCGGGTAACCCTGACCCTGTGTCCTATTACATCATCCAGTATCAGGCCAAATCATCAGACAGCAAATATGAAACAGTGGACGGCATCACCACCACTCGCTACAGCATTGGAGGCCTGTACCCCAACACTGAGTACGAAATACGTGTTTCTGCGGTCAACACCATTGGGCAAGGCCCATCCAGCCTGAAGGTGGAAGCTAGGACTGGGGAGCAGGCCCCAGCCAGCCCACCCCGCAACATCCAGGCCCAGATCATCTCACAGAACACAGTGATCGTGAGGTGGGAGGAGCCAGAGGAGCCTAACGGCCAGATAAAGGGATACCGCGTGTACTACACCATGGACCCTTCTCAGCCAATGAGTAACTGGCAGATCCATAATGTGCAGGACAGCGTGATCACCACCATCCAGAGCCTAGTGCCGTCCGAAACGTACACCATCCGTGTGCTGGCCTTTACCTCTGTTGGAGATGGACCCTTCTCGGACCCCGTGCATGTGAAAGTTTTACCAGGTGGTAAGTTGAAGTAGCCAATGCTAGTTGTTATTCATCCCAGCTGTGAGGAACCAATGCCTTCCATGGTTTTGTGTCATGATGTAACCTGATACCTGATACAACAGGTAATTAGCCAGAGAAGCTGAATGAGGTATGTTAATGCTGGGATATGTAGTCCGTTAGGCCTGGACAATAAATTCATGAATGAATGATTGAATGTTGCCAATACATATTTGAGGCATTGTCAATAAAGAAATTATGTTGTTCTGTTTTTCAATCTAATATTAGCAGCAAAGTCTTGAACTAGGGATGCACAACGATATCAGCACATATAAGTGTTAGTAGATAATTGCTTAAAAACATTTTTGGCATCAGACAGATATTTAGATAGAGGTTTCAAACTGATATTTGACAATGTATTCAACATTCATCGATGCTGGCTAGCTGTGCTAAAATGTCAGCATTGTACTTAATTTACCACATTTGAAACACTATAGATGCAGCCCCAATTTCTAAACAGCTGCTGTTTCAGTCCACTAGGTGGAAGGGAAGAAGAAGTCTAACCACTCACTCACAACAGCACAAACCAGCAGGACAGTTAGGGAAGTTAGCCAGCTACTTTATTTTAGTACTGAAATTATCGAGTGAAAAAGCTGTGAGTCTGAGGAAAACTTTTCAGAACAAGAAGAGGCTGTGGCAAAAAAGACCACATGTCTTCTTCTAATTTGGTTGTCTTAAACCTGAGGTAACCTTTTTATTTTTCAGTATTAAAAATAATATTCAGTTGAATGAATGAAAAAATTGAATGAAAACCATTATTGCCATATTACTCATGTATGTGATGAATCTAACAGATTTAATGCTGACTGATGGAAAAGACGAAGTAAGATAAGTAACCTGCATTATCTGAGGTTTAACAGTATAGATCAATGTGAGCTCACTATTTGGCAAGCAATATGTCACTATGTTATAACTACTTATTAATGATTTTTAAGGTGTGGTGACTAAATTAATAACCATTAAAAAGCTAATATTAAACCATTCATGAACTTTTTGTAAGGGTTATCTCACTATGAAGAGGTCCCAGTAATTCCTTCAACTCTGTAATAGTTCATTTTCTCAAAATTTAGTGCTAAACGTATTAAAAATGATAATTTGATCGTTTTTCCATGCCATGTTAATAAACATCATTTGACCTATGTTGTAAACTCTGCTTTAGTGCCAGGTCAGCCGGGGAAGTTCCGGGTGGGCAAAGTGAGAGATACGAGCATCGAGCTGATCTGGGACCCTCCCTTCTCTAAAGAGCCCATCAAGAGCTATGAGCTTATCTACAAAGCAGCCAAGCATGGCGCTCAGGTGAGACCCCCGGTTATTAGGGGTGCAGCTGGGGGAAGCCAGCATCTGGGACTGGGCGATAAGGCACAGAGCAAAATAAGGATACAACTCTCCAAATGTTTCAAAAGCAAGTGTGTCAAAATGCCATTGTTGGGGTGCCATATTTTGATGTCAGGGAGTGCAGAAGAAATTCAGTTGTTGGTTTGATCCACAATTCAGATGACATCTCACTGTTGCAAGCCACTAGAAAAAAGCAGTTATTGTGTGACCAAGGTTGGACCAGAAGATTGACAATGAGAATAAATCCTCCAGTTTGCAAGCGAAATAACTTTCCAAGCAAAAACAATAAAAACAGTAGTTAGTAGTTAGATCATCTAATCCACCCTCCTGTCTGACTACATACCATGCTGCCTCTCTCCAGCGTATTGATTTCTAGTCGTGCATAGACTGTATGTAGAATTTAATCAAATAAATTTCTGTCACTACATTGACAGATAATCTTACGTAGGTCCGAAGAGGCCATGAGCTGTTGCTACAGTTTTCTGGATTGTAATCTTGAGATAACAAGTTAATTATCTTGCGATCTCAAGATAACAACTTTGTTATCTAATATTTCTCATTTCTCTTTGTTCTTAAAATTATCTTAAATCTAGTGAATTTATCTAATATTTCTCAGAAATATATGAGAAATATGAGAAATATTAGGTAAATTCACTAGATTTAAGATAATTTTACTTGACACATTACCTGATTTAAATGATTTTTAATGAGTAGTTTTTAGAAGTAACTGCCTGATCATATACAATGACTAACCATGAAACCTTCCTACCAAGCCTAATCACTCTAAATAAAATTTTTCTTAATTGTTCTTAATCTGGCTTTGTAAAAATTACAAATAATTCTGTCTCTTATGTCAACAGGAGAAGAAGAGTTTTGAGCCCAGGTCCTTTTATGTGGTGGAAGGTCTGCGAGCAAACACAGAGTACACCTTCTCTCTGGCAGCCATTTCCAGCAAGGGCATTGGAGCTTTCACCAACGAGATCACCCAGCGCACTGCGCAAGCCAGTATGTCCAACCATGAGTTCTGTATTGTTTCACCCTAATCCACTGGAATAGTCTCAGAACTTTAGTCCACCCACCTCTCCTTGTAGTCCATTGATTCAAACTGGCTGGCTGCACTGTATCTTCATAAGCACTGTTTTTATATAACCAATGGACAGGTCAGGTATGACTATGACCTCTGATCCAGACTGACTGCTTGAGGCTTCTTGCATGTTGTTTATCCGCTTATGCTGGTTTTGAAAACTGCTTTGATAGAAAGGAGATGGAGAGGTGGGTTGGTAAGGAGTATCTGGACTGTACTATGGATTTTTGACCATTGATCGTGAGAGCTTGACTTCGTCTCGTCTTGTTCTCGTTCTGCTTGATCACAGTGTGTGTGAAAGTGGAACAGAGAAAGATATTGCATGCCTCACATCTCCACACACTTTTCACCATGTGCTTCACAAAAAATAACCGCCATCACTCGTTTTTTCCTGATATCCGCCTGCCTATCACCATCCATCCTCCATTGGTCCATCTGTTCAGTAACTTCTTCATTCATCTACTCATCTTCATTCATCCATTGATCCACTTGTCCATGCGTTGTTGCTATATGAACTTTGTGTGATGCCTTTATGTGTGTGCGTTGTGCATTTTTCTCACATTTGGTCCAGCAGAGCAAAAAACCAAAAACAGGGAGAAATGAAAAGCCACCAACAGACTGGATGGGATTTGTGTTTGTTTACTTTTCATCTTCTCCTCATTTTCCTCATATTTATCTTTACCCCTCCTCTCCCTCCTTTGCTTTTTCCTCAACCTCTAGATCCAACAGTACACAAGATCGTTCACCGAATGGCTTGGAATCACTTTATTTTGGTTTTTATGAAATGTTATATGTCCTCATAATGTGTTGTCACGTTCCAAAAATATTTCAGCATAAGCCACCTATATGAAAAGATGTGCCACTGATGGAATGTTTAATTGTTGAATGTAAGCACCAGTTAGAAAACAGCATAAGAAGGCCAGGTTGACGGTAAGTGAGAATCAGTCTGGCCTCTAAAGGTCTTCAGTCAAGGACTCCACTGCTATTGCAGCCTAAACACTGGTCTTGGCTCTTGGCATGGTGGTGACACCACTCACAGTAAGCTCCTTCCCCTTATTTCCAATCACATCGGCTAGATTAGCGGAAAGAACAGCAACCATTATTGTAGGATTGAGTAGTCTTTAAAAGATTGCTCTATAAATAAAACTCAGATTAGAGATTGTCCAAAGAGGTGCACTCTCAACTTAAGCGCAACTGAAGCCCCTTTCACACATGCACTTTTATCTGGGAATTGAACAGTAATTAAATGGAAAAGTGTGAACCCAAGCAGGAGTCAAAATCCTGGTAAAGATGATGTGCCAATTTACCTGCATGAGAATGAGTACAGTGCTCTGGAAATTACCATGAGGGCTCATGTGTGAACAGAAGGCGATACATTGTAATGCATTACAAAGACATCTAGATGATGGCCGGCAAAGGTAAACCTGTCTGTGATATGTTATAAGAGAAAAAAGTCATGTGAGTGTATTGTTGTACATGACTCGGAAATGAAGGAGCAGTTGGCTATTCATGCTGAAAATATTACTTACCAGGATTTTCATAGCTTGTATGGGTGCATACATCCTGATATATACAAAAATGTGAATGCGCAAACCCCAAACTTTGCCAGTAAAAGTATCCCAACAATGTCCCAAGTGTGAAAGGGGCTCTAGTTTCACATGCTGATACACAAAGGTGTTCGGCATTAACTTCATATGCTGATAGATTCCTATGATAATAAGCATAATATCATGGGCTGGTAAAATTCTGCTAGACTAGAAGTTCACACCAACTTAATGTGCTAATAGAACATGTGTGAAGTCACCAAAATACCAACTATCTATATATGTGTGCTGTTTCTTTCCACTGTCTTGGCCTGAACTACAATTCCCAGAATGCACTGGAATGCATGTTTTATCTGTACAAAGTGCATGTATTGCCGTTCGTGATATCTCTGCTCCAACTAATGGAGTTCTGTGTTTACTGCTTTCTTGTTTTGAAGGGAGTTTGTTTAAAAAAAAAAAAGCTCAATGAAGCTCAGATTACCAGATTTTCTCTTTACAACAAATTCTCTGTACTGGATTTGCACTGGAGCTACAAGGCTAATGTAGAGGCTAACATAGATGCTTATACCTCAACAGTTGTGCTAACTATTCCTTTAGAGTTGTTGAGGACAGGTGTGATCCTCTTTTCTGTTTTCTCAGTAATATAAACAGAGAACAAAAGCCAGATAGGTGAAATCAACGTGGCAGCCACCTTCTGGCACTGTTGCCTATCAAACCTCATCGGATCACGGTGAAGAGACTGGGAAAGGGACATCGCTGTTGTTGTTGTTGCTGGGCTGAGGTCTGGCTGCCTGTTTCATGCATGGTAGGGCACGGGGCTCAGGAGCTTGAGTAGTACCTCTGATTTTGTAGAAGAACACGGCAGGGCAAGAAAAAGCATCCCACTTCATCCTTGCGAATTCATATTTCAGTGTCGCACTCGTGAACCCCACTATCCGCCACCAGGCTTTGTTTCGTGCCAGATCTTTATCACACCCTTAAGCCAGTCGAATTGAATTTGCACCGCTGAACTTTTGTGCCAGCATCTCCGACTAGAGGAAAAACCTGGTTGTGATCCAACCCTTCTGCTAAGCCTCCGTGGAGGACTATTCCAAAATAATAAGTGTTGAGTCGAAGCTCCACAACACATAATGATTTATTCTTCTTTTTCGCCTAAAGGGAAATAATGTCACTCAACTTATATGTGACACATAAAAATTAATATGAGAGCAAGGCAGGGTGATCTCTTTTGTGCGCCTTAAACTAATACTCATAGCTAGGAGCATCATCTCTTTTTCCAAGTCTGCCTGTGCACAGGCAATGCAATGGCAGCAATAGAGCCCGTTACCATCAAGCAGAAGAGTAGAAATATAATACTGTAAAGTCTGTATGCTAATTAAAGCTTTTATTGAACCTAAATTTTGGTCCCATAGCCAGGGAACCTCCGACTCGACCCATATTTTGATACCAAACACAACCCGAGCCCGACAAAAAGCTGAACTGAACTGACTAATTTACCCACTGTTATTGTCATAGAGGGGAATCCTCAGGGTCTGCTAGGCCTTCAGCGAAGGCCTAATGATTTCTGTGAACTAAAAAATTACCTGTATGTAATTTTTTACTCATTTTTGTTTAATGTAATCATTATGCTTGTTGTATTTAAATTTTGCAAGCATTGTAGTAATTCTATTATTTCATTGTTAAATTTTTATTTGAACAAAAGGGTTAAATAGTTGTAATGCCCTGTGGAAAATCTAGTATCTAGGTAGATATAGTCAAGCAAGCTCTCCAATTGGTCAGGACTTTAGGAGCTGAACAGAAGGCCTAATGTGTAGATTATCCACAAAAGCATAAGTGACAGTGAAATCAACCAATCATGTTTTGATTTCCAATGGGTGGGCCAATTTTGTGATGTCACTTTATCCCTTCTGGAAGTCCTAGATATGTCACTGACTGAGTAAGAGTGGTATTCTATCCACTGCTGTTGTGTCCAGTCCGTCGGATTGGAAACAACAGCAGCTCTGTGCCAGGGCTCTGAAGGAACCACTATAAAACTGCTTTATTGTTAGTTATGTATGTTAATATGTATTTATATAATATGTAGATAATATGATGTAATTTAATATGTTTTGACATTTATGGCCCAAACTGAAGGCCTAGCTCTAGTAGTCACAGACCACGGGTAAAAAAAAAAGTCTTTTGCTTAATCTAGAACAGCTGGAAACATTCATGTGAATCACTGTTAGCTTCGAACTAGCATGCTACTTAAACCTCATTATGGTGCTAGCAGAAATTAGTGCTATCGTAAAGGTGTTTTTTCCTTGGTTTTGACTTAGTTTTGACATTTATGGCTGGAACTGAAGGCCTACGTCTAGTAGTCATGCTTCACCACTGTATTTTTATTTAGGAGAAAGGTGCTGCAAATATCGACTACAAGTCTGTTCACAGCCTTTGTCCTATACACCAGCATATTGACCCTCAAGTCTGACAGATATTTGAGAAATTATGTCTGAACCCAAGCAAACCTGGTGAGAATAGTTGAGTCCCCTGTGGGTTGGAAAAATATTTCAAAGCTCTGCCAAAGATATGCGGTGTAATAGGATTATAAAATGGAAATGCCATTGCTAGAGAATAGGACCCTTACCTCCCATTTAAGGAAGTCATAATTATCCATTAGTCCTCCACGGGGGGCTCAGAGTGTAGTGACCTTTTGTGTGCAAGTTTAATTTCCAGAGACAGACCCCAGTGTCCATTTGAAGCCCCATAAATCATCTGCTCTCATGGTCCCATAGCTGATCTTGGACCATTTTACCTTCTCGGCATATGCTAGCACTAACCGTTTTAAGAAACTGTCAAAAGCTGCTGTCGGGTCAAGGCAAAAGGCCAACTTCTATTGACACTGGCCTTACGGCAGTTACCCAGAGAGTGTTGACTTGTAGCTATGCCAGCAGGACCTTCCCTACCTTTCTCTGTGGAGAATGCAAGCCCAGCCAAGCCCAATTAGCCCGTGTAAGTTCCTTTGACACTACTCGGAGATAACCGTTTTTGAAAGCAATTACACATTGTCATTATTTAATTTTACATGTCATCTCCGATAAAGCTAATTTAATTATTTTGCAGCAGTTTAATTATTGTGTTACATGGCTGTGCATGCTAGCTATGCCACCACGGTAGCAGGGCCCATGTGTAATTGAGCTTGGGTGGTTCATAGGAAGAGCGTTATCAGTTATATTGATTATTAGAACGGCTCGGCGCGGATTCCATTATTTTTAATAACTCTCTCGCCCCTTGTTCTTCGCCCGTTGGCTCAGCATTCAGCCGTGCAGCTTTCACACAATTAGGCTCAATCACAGGGACCAAAGATCCAAATTAACCATGCTGTCGTTCAGACTAATGCCATCTATTACTGTCATTTTGGGCAGCATGGCAGCAGAGAGTTCTTTCAAAATGTTGATGTTTTAATAGCGGGGGAAGAGCGTGGAATTATACACAGTGTGGACACAGTAAAATCGCCAGCTTTAAATAACTGAGTCAAGTGTACACTAGAGACTTGGTGTAAATACTAAGTGTGCATTGGAGACCAGTTTAACGCTGTATGTGTTGAAGTTAATGACTTTGCTGTGGAGGTTGGACACACAGTAGACAGGCTGTTGGGTTTTAAAGAGTACACTGTTAAAAATAAAGGGTTATTTAGAGCAACACCATGGAAGAACCAGTTGTGGTTCCCCAAAGAGTCTTGCAATGGATTCTTTGGAGACCCATTTTTATCAACAGGATGTACAAATGTGAAGAGCTTGTGCATAATGAAAAGGTTCAACACAGTTTTCTAGAATGTCCAAGCCAAGAATCATTTAGAAACCTTTATTTTTAATAGTGTAGAGTCCATTTTCAAGGGGTCTTTTGGTAAGAAAGTCTGTTTGAGATGTTTGGTAGAAGGATGAACAGGTATGTATCAGTATTAGTATCAGTATCATTGAATTGCTTGATCAGTCTGTGTCTCATGTCAGATTTTATTAGATCATGCCCTTTACGATTCCATTACTTCGCCTCATGTTTCCTTTGGAGTCATTTGAGTCATCATTAAATCTTTTTTTCTGCTCAGTTCATGGTTTCCATTAATTTGTGTTGCTTTGTGCATTATTTTTTCAGATCAACTGCCTTGCTGCAGAACCCTCATTCTGGTTTATATCAGTCAGAGGACTCGTATCTCCTGTAATATGGGCATGTTCTTGTAAATCACTTTTATGCACATTACAGTGCCACTGCACTATAACATCCATAATAACTAGCTATGGGCGCAGCGTAATTGGTGAATGGTGGCTTTTGAATTCAATGGAATACATTTACACAGTGATTTCGTGGATGGCCTGCCATGCAGTTTTCCCTGAGGTAAAAGAGACAGCCTGTCTCGCAGTCTAAGTCTTCAAGTGGTCAGGTCACTTTATTCATTTCATATGTTACCATCACACTCCACCACCTCTGTCTTGCGATTCGAATTGCTCCAGAATTGCCGACACTTTTGAAGTACTGCGAGAGCTAAAATAATGACTCTTTTTGATGCCTTCATTACCTGACTCCGAAAGAAAGTTAATTAGAGCTGACTGGAACCATATGTTGAGGAGGATCTCATAATAATCCCTCTGAAAAAAAGTGCCACCCTCTTCAATAACCCTTAATGGATTTTAAATGAAATGACATGTTGCGGGTCCAGGCTGCATCACTAGGCTTAGTTTCACTCACCGTAAACTGTCACCATCTGGACCTAGAAGCCTGATCCCTTTCTCCCTCCAGCCCAGAAGCCTATCCATCCATCCATCCATCAATCTCTTTTTTGTGCTGCAGCAGAATGAGAGGTGACAGGTGACAGCTATCCATTACACACTCACTTTCCCTTTAATTGGGTTGTCCATTCCGGTTCAATATGCTTCTCTCATCATCGGTTGGCTGACTGTTGTGGCTCAGCAACATGGCACGAGTCTCTCAAATGAACAGTACTGGGTGCTGCGTAGCCTAGAAATAGGCTAAAGCAAGGTAGGCCCCATTTTCATCATCATTACACTGACACAGTCCATTCATTTCATTTTGCTTCTGTCATCTCATTGTTTATTTCATTGAACTTGTTTATCTGTTTTGAGTCAAATTTAATTTGTGACCCATAATTAGTTTTATTGATTTGGCTCTTATCCCAGGGACATGAGATCTTCTCCGGTGTCTCATCCTTGCCATCTGATATGTTTCCTTGGGACTTTTTTTATTATTATTCATTTTCTTTATTTGTATCACTCCGCCCTCTCCATCTATCTTCTCTTCGTTTCCGATCCTCCCTTCCGTTCCCTCCCTCTCGCTCTGTCTCTGTCTGCCCGCCCAGAGCCCTCGGCGGCGCCACGCGAGGTTCGGTGCATGAGCCCTAGCTCCTCTTCCCTCCTGGTAAGTTGGCGGCCGCCGCCGGAGGAAGGCCAGAATGGCGACCTGACTGGCTATGAGTTACGTTACCAGGCTGTTGGTGATGACGACAACAACGGAACAGAGGCACTTTCAGAAAAGACGATTCGCATGGAGGCCAGCGCGGGCCAATCAAGGCTGAAGAGCCTGGCCAAGTGGAGGCGCTACCGAGTCTCGGTGGCCGCACTCACCGCCCAGGGCTTAGGCCCGGAGAGCGCCCCTCTTGAATGTCGGACGGACGAGGATGGTAAGATAGTGTTTCTATTATTCAATTTCCCATAAGTACCCAGGAACCTATGGAAGTCCCTAAGTGCAAAACAAATGAACAAATTTGAAAATAGTTCACTTCTGTAAAAGACTTATTATTTGCACTGGTGGCCTGCAAAGTTGCCTGAATGATATTCTTGATGAAAATTAGCACAAATAAGTACATTATAACAGAATACTCAAGTCATGTAAACTTCCCATTTAAAGCTGCTACTGAAGCTCTCTGTTGATATGGTGCATTCGGACAGTCCTCACAAACTTCCAACTTTCCAAGAATTTCCAACTTTTTACCACAAGGAAGCTGGTAGAAAATTTTATTGGTGTGTTAGCACAGTTCTTATCAACATCGAAAGATCACACAAATATGGGGACTTGAGCCAGCAAATTAGACTCAAGTCGCACTGGAGTCACATGTTGACTGACTCGCGACTTGATTCTGACTCTCAAACAAATAATAAAACAGATTAAATTGTTATCTTTAATGCGATAAATTAATAAAACCTTTTTTTTCCCGACCATTTATGTGTGAATTTTGCTGTTATGCTATGATCATGCAAAATCATTACTGTAATGCTGTTTTCTCGCAGCTTGCAGTTGCATCAAGTTCAATATGATTTCAAGTGATCAGCCTTCAATTATGGAAAAACCTTTAGTCTAAAGGCAGAATTAAGTGATCTCTTCAGTAATTGCAATGTGTAAACAGGCTAAACAACTTGAAATAAATAGCTAGCGTGTAATTGGGATAGCATGTAGGCTAGCTAACACTATAGCTAATTTAGCTGAAGTTGTCAGCTAAAATAGCCGAGGCTTTAGTAAGTTACAGATCCTTTTAAACATACTGAAACTTCAGCTGGATAAGCTATTGTTTTAGCTTGCTAGCGTACTTGCTATATAAACTACATACTAACCGACTACTTCAGGTTGTTTTACTGCATGTAGCACTTGTTCTGTCCTTCAGACTAAAGATGTTTCTAAGATGAAAGGCGCATTATTTGAAGTCGTGTGGAACCTGGCAGGCTGTAAATAAGAGGTTACTTTTGTACAATGCCATACCTGCCGCTAATAAAGAGACTAAACTAAAATTCTGTACCAGAGACTTCAGACTCGACTCACTCCTGTACCCCAGAGTCTTGAGACTCAACTGGGACTTGAATGAAGTGACTTATGAATATCTCAGTCATGATGTCACCAAATTGTAAGTACTGGTAGTTTGAGATATGGTGGTCATCAACAACTGGAACATTTATAACATGAACTGGATGTGTACACCAGATTAATGCCAGCCAACTCTGTTGTGCTCATGTGGTATTGGAGAATGTACTGGCTTGTGATACGAAACATGGGTAACATTGAGCTTTACTTTTGCATTTATGACTTTGTCAGTTCCCAGAAATTCAAGAATTTTGCAATTCAAATTCAAATACACTATTAGTTATCCAAGTTTGTAAGTTGTGATGTAGATTACATTCTCTGGTGTGAACACAATAGACCTCGCAAACACTATAACAAGTTAGTGGTAAATATATGATTCACAATACATAGTCATGTGTTTTAAACAATTTGCTGTTGTGTTTTTTGGTTTGTTTATTTGTTTTAGGGCCTTCTGTAAGAAACCATTGATGTAAAATCAATTTGGGGCCCTCTGTAAGAAACTATTGATGTAAAATCAATTTGGGGCCCTCTGTAAGAAACCGTTGATGTAAAATCAATTTCCAGGCCTTCTGTAAGAAACCGTTGATGTAAAATGTCCCCCTTGATAAAGAACCTTCTTTCTGTAAAGGATTTATACAGAAGAAGCTCTGCTCTCTACTCTCATTCATCTTCTAGCAGCCTAGCAGACTGACTCACATGCAAAAGAAAGACGGGCGCGACATTGAACAAAATTACAATTCGTTTTCTTCACAAACATGACTCATACTCACATACGCTCGGGCCTACTGACAGACTTTCATTCTGTATGAGTTGTGCAAAGAAGACTGAATAGGCCCAGAACCCCGTTTACAGTTGGTCTTGGGGTTGGTTCTCTAAAGCACGCTGAAAAGTGTGTGATAACATCAGAAGTCTATTGCATGCCACACTGCATGATGCCGGTAAAATCTTGGCCAAATTCTTTGAGGACGGGTGCTCACGTGTGCTGGCCACTTCGTCATCAAATGCCGTGCTACTATTAGGCGTTTTGTAGTCATGTACTACGGTCAGTCAGAAATTTGTTGCAGGCTGTCTTTGGTCACAATGTCACATTATTCCAATCATAGCTCACCACCAAATAAGTTGTTGACAGTTTGTCTGCTTAGACAAATTGCTCGCAATTTTTATCTCATCATTTTAGCTCAGAATTCTGTAAAGAATTCTGTAAAGAGTTCTTTGGCTTTACCATTTTCGCATTGATAGTGCTTTTAATACCACATACAACCAACTATAACTCAGGGTCGAACAGTTCTTTTGTCTTTTGTCAGCGTTTGTCTGCTCAGAATTCTGAAAGAATTCTTTGGTCGTACAATTTTTTCCAGTCTAATTCTTTTAATACTTATTCTGTCTCACGTCCAAAGAATATTTTTTTATCAAAAGCTACATTTGTCTGTCTCAAATTCATGAAAGAAGTCTTTGGTTGTGAGTTATGATTGCTATTCAAAACATTATCTTGGCAAAAATCATAGAGCGAATACCTGCCTTAAAACTTCATCAACAGACAGAGTAGCTGCACGTCAGGTCCTGCTTGCTGTTGTCGTGGTTACAGGCAGCTGGTTCCTGCGGATGCCGTTGCTTTTAGTGATGGAGGGCAGGCATCCTGGGATCACAAGTGGCGAGCTGCTAATTGCTAAGAGATTTAGATGATACGATCCCAGTGTTTCGCGAGGACAAAGTGTGCACGCGTGTGTGTAGGAGACAGTGTGTGTGTGGGATAGTAGGGAGCATGAGTGTGGGAGAAAAAGATAGAGTGTTACACAAATAGATGTGTGAAAGTGACGTAAGCCTTTGACTGTAGGCTTGTTTTTCCCTCCAACAAAGCGACCGCAGACATAATATATTAGCTTCAATTCATCAGATTCAAAACCTAGCAGCATATAATTACATTCCAGTTCAGCGCACTGTACGCACTGTACATGCTTTTTTAATCCATGCCCTAAAATACAGTTAATGCAGCATACAAATAACTGTATGATGTTGTAAGAAGGACAACATGCCATATACAGTTTGTGATTGAAATTCAAATGATTTATTGACAAGAATATACAATTGATTTGTGTTGTGTATAGTAGGGGTATAAATCTCTGACCTCACAATGATTATATTATATATCTCAAATGTCACCACAATAGTGACTTAAACCCTAAAAAATAAAGCTATATTTGTGTTGTAGACATTGTGACAACTGGTTCCTATCACAACCACTGTAGAGATAATCTCTGTACAGTGAACCATTTGACATTAAACCACCCTGAAGGTCTCTGCTTTCATCTAAATCATTGAATCATGCAGAAATTTTGAAAACCTGGTGGAAATCCCCTTTGAAACAATGTCCACTACTATTAAACTATGATGCATAAAACAAATGTAAGTGTTTTGCTTACTATAAAAACATGACAAATAGGAAAAATTCCTCTACTAGTAGGCCGGCATTGTTGCACTGTGATGGTCATAGAGCTGTACTGAACTTAGTCCTATAGAAAATAAGCTGCTAGTAGGTGGATGTTGTCTATTTTGAATAATTAATGCAGTATTTTGCTTGGTTTATAAAACATATTTTAATAGGAATGGACATGTACACCATTTTGAGGCAGTCAGGGTTTGTAGTATGAAATGCACCAGATTATCTGACAGTAGGCACCTTTAGAGGAATTGCTTACACACTAAACAATAAAAGCGATTCACCAAGTTATTATCACCAAAAAATGTGTACTGTATTGAATAGTATAGTAATCGAGTATGATTGTTCATGCCAGATTTTAACATGCTAAATTGCTGGTGAATAAGCACCTTTAGATCAATACATCATGATGCATTTTACACTCCTAGTGTTTATGTTACAGTTGCCCTTACATACAATTGATGACCAGCCTTTTCTCTGACCTGTTGGTACAGCTGGTCCTCCCCTGCGGGCTAATTGCAGTGTTCTTCTTCAGTGACTAGAGATGCTATTTGTCAAAGCCCCAGTTTGTGACCGCAGAGAGCTGGAGACAGAACAGCAGCTGTGTGTGTACAGTAGTGAGGATTGGGACTGTGCTTTGCGTCTAGGGGCAATTTTCACCACTGCTCTCCTGAGATACAACCGTGGTTTGGAAGAGCTGTTTGGTGACCGCTGTGTGATTGAACTCAGGGGTGTGTGTGTGTTCCACAGTGCCGGGGGCACCACCTTCACAGGTGGGGGTGCGGCCCCTGAACTCCACCTCCATCAGGGTGTCGTGGCGATCGGTGTTGCCAGGGCAACGGAACGGGCAGATCCGTGGTTACCAGGTGCACTACGCTCGCCTGGAGAATGGCGAGTCTCGTGGCCTGCCCCGCATCAGAGACATCATGCTGGACGATGCCCAGGTGAGGTCATCACATCACGCCCACCATGACATCTGTGAAAGGAGAGCCTAGTCTGATGATGCATTCATGACAAAGTAGGAAGTGGGAAGTTTCTGACTGAATCCATTTGAACGTGCCTACAACTCATAATTCCCACTTGGAAAGTCAGGAGCTCCAACTTTGCCGAGCTGCAGTTCTGTGATGTCACTTCAACATGATGATGCCATAGAACAACAAGTTATCACGTGTTTTAAGCTTTTTAGGGCATCTTTTGAATTTCTGTTTGTTTATTATTTGCTATTTGCATATGATATCGCTAAATACTAGGGGAAACCTGGATAATTGGAAGGTCAAGTTGTTCTGTACAATATTTTTGATTAACTGTGCGCTTTGATGTAATTCTCAGCACTATATTAACAGTGAATTGCTATTAGCCTACACCCACTTTTAAAATAAATGAAGCACTAATCAAACAGCTCTTTAATTCCAGTGTAAAAGCTTTTTAAAAGCCTTTTATATGCCCACAGCTCTTTTTCTGAGTGTCCATTTTTTTCAAGTCTCTTTGAGGTGGGAAATAGGAAGCTCCAGGTTGGAAAATGTTATTAATCTTAATTAGTAACTATGGTAAATGATCCAGTAACTACTAGGAAACTAATAAGCACTAATACGTTATGTAGTGAGAGTACAGGATTGTATTGTGGACCCACATACAGTCCTTAGTTTAGGGAACTGATACTGTGGATGTGCCAAACAAACTCCTTCCTCAGTCATGTAAACTTTAAAACCCAATTAGTCAACAATTGTTATTCAGATGCTTAGTATTTTTACTACGGTAAATTAATTGCCAGATGCTATTATGTAAGTGTGGGCCCACATGCATACCCTTGAGGTTTAAAGGCTTCATTGAACCCATAAAAGTCCAGAGCTTGTTGTTTTGCTGTACTATTTAACGGCAATTATATAGTATAATGCTTTAAACAATTACAACGTAATGTAATGAATTACATTTTCATTTGAGTCAAATTCTATAGTTTATTAGGGCAAAACTTTAAAGGATTCTGCAAAACAAGATTGCATGCATGACAATAGCCTTTCGTCAACGTTAGATCACAATTAAAATGTGTCATCTTATATTAACAAATACAAAAATGGGATCAATCGAAAGTTTAGAATCTACACTTATAACAAACTTTTTAGTTTGTTGCGGTGACATATAAGCGAGAAACATCATGATTTTGCTAACACATGATTAACAAGCTGTGTGTGTAAGCCATACAGTCATTTGTAAAAGTGTGAACAACCCTGGTCAGATTACATGTTTTGCTGATTTTCTAAGTGGAAATAAGTTAACACATCCTCTATAGAGAAAAACGATAAATATGGCATTTCTCATATATATATATATATATATATATATATATATATATATATACATATATATATATATATAGTTTGTTTTTTGTTTTTCCTCAATGTTAAATTCAGCAAATAAACTAATTTTATGCTAAAATTTGTAGACAATGGCACCAGGGGTGTTCAAACTTTTGCATACACCTGTATTTCTTAGAAGATGTTATCAACTAGGCTAAGTAAGCACAGTGAGGCAAATTATTTTCCATAAATCTTTTAAGTAAACACAACTACCTAGGTTTCATATTTGATTTGTAACATTAGTTTTACACTTCCACTCACTGGCCACCTACCTTATAGCTCCACTTTATATGTGTACAATTACATACTGCAGCCCATCTGTTGTTGCACAATTTGTCAGCCAACCTCTAATCCATTCATCATTGCTCAGTTTCTGACCACAGGACCACTGCTGAACAGATGTTATTTAGGTGGTGGGCCATTCTCAGTACATCTGTGACACTGACATGGTAGTGTCTGTGGTGTTGGTATAAGCATATCACGCACATCAGTGTCACTGCTAGAAACTGACCACTGATGAAGGGCAAGAGGATGGCTAACACAAATTGTGCACCAACAGATGGGCTACTATCTCCAACTGTACATCAGCAAGGAGCTACACAGCAAATGTTTCTGATGAAATGGCCAAAGAGCGTATTATGCTGTGCACTTTCCATTGAGATCAGATTGACTGAGTTTATTGAAAGCAGTAATTTAGTAGTTTAATGATTAATACATTAAACATAGTCTATACAAATGAGTTAAGCTGGTCTGTCATTCTCTATAAACTACTTGAATAAATGCACAGAGTGTTATGTTTTGCTTTAGTATTATAAATGACCATAATGAATACTTAAGGCAGTGAAAGCAACTAATGATGAAAGACATAGACTTTCTTAAAATGCATACTCTACTCTTTCATGGTTTGCAGCATGTAGTGTGTATCAGGGGTATTAATAAGGAGTGTGCCACCCTTTGCTGCAGTAACAGCCTCTTTTCTTCTGGGAAGGCTGTTGGAAAATTGCTGTAAGGTGGATTTGATTGCATTCAGGCACAAGATAATTAGTGAGGTCAGGTACTGATGTTGGATGATTAGTTCTAGATCACTTCAGCTCATCCAAGAGGTATTGGATGGAGCTCCATCACTGCAGAGAAAACAGCTCCACTGCTCCACTGCCCAATGCCCCTCTTATACCCCTCTAGCCGACTCTTGGTGACTCCTGTGCAGCTGCTCCAGAGCGTCCCATTCTATCGGCAATACTTTGCTGTGGAAATTGTACAAGCTGTGTGTGTGCAGTTGAACACCTGTGTCAACAAAGTAGTTGGATTCACTAATTAGAAGAGGTGTCTGGATGCTTTTGAACATAGTATATAGATAGATAGACAGATAGTTGCCTTAACATTGCTACATGCCTACTATGTAGAATACATTTATCATCAAAAATGATTGAGTACTATCTGAAGGTTTCCCAGTTGGTAATTATATGGTAATTATGTCATCAGGGAAAATGCAGGTAAAAGAGCTACAGACTGTAATGCACACATATGGTACTTCATGAATTTGCATCATGATTATATAATTTATTGTGTTAATTCTGCAGGTGATACCCGCTTGTCTCAGTTTGCATTGTGGATAGATAGATGCAATTGATTGATCGAAAAAATGCATGTGAAAGGTCACACTGTTAGGACAGATCAGGTGCAGTTACTGTTAGCATGGTGGCAGATTCGGTGTCATTGTCGATTCCAACCTGCCTGCTTTCAATTTACTACATCAACACAGTCCAACTTGGTAGCACAGCATTTTAAACTGGTGACTAAACGTGCCTGTTTACACTAGGCATTAATGTCTTTTGAGTTAGGAACGGATCTGAATGCACTTTGAAAGGATTCCATTCATACGTTTTATTAAAAAGTGTCCCCAGTGTGAACAGATGAGATAAAATTGTTAATCTCCATAAAAAGCACATCAATACATACTTGGTTTCTGTTTTATTTACTTTCCCCCTTTACGATACTGAGTCATCGAGCTTGGACACTTTCATCAGCGCAGAGTGCAAGAAGGAACTTGGTTTTGGGCTCCAGCCTCACAAGTCCTCCGGCTTTAGTTTTCTTGTTTATCCTCTCGCCCACTAGTCGGTACTCAGCAGAGGCATTACTGCTCATGTAATTATATATGGATAATAAAAATGCTTTCTGTTTACTGTTGTGTTAAATGCAGTCATGATCTCTCTCTCTGACCACATCCGAATGTGGTTTAAGGGATCTGATCACAGTGCGTTTTAAATGCTGTTAATGTGAGGTGTAGACAGGACATGTTATGTAGCAATTCTGAACAAACGAAGTGCTCCAAAAAACTGCGCTACAGTTTCTCCTTCTGTTGAATGGGAATTTTGCTGAAATTCTGTAAAGCTTGTAAAAACAGTAGCTACCAAAGAATGCATTTGGTGGAGCATAGATCAATTACACAGACTACACATACAGTCGTATGCAAAGGTTTGGGTATCCCTGGTCAAATTATGTATTTTGTTGATTGAAAATAAGTACACATCCTCTATAGAGAACACACTTCTGCACATAATGCACAATCACTGTTTATTTCTTTCATTTATTGGATTGAGGGAGAAAAGCATGAAATGTGGCACATTTTATATGCTATGTTTTTTTCCCAACATGCTAAACTCAGCAGATAAACAGAAATTGTGCCCTGAGCTTTGCCTGTAGAGGATCTATTAACTTATTTTCACTTAAAAAATCAACAAAGCATGTAATTTGTCAAGCGTTGTTCAAACTTCACACTGCAGACAACTGTACAGACAGCGTGAAGACATCACTGTGAAAACATGAGAGAAAATGCAGAAGACAAGCCATCATTTTATACTGCTGACCACTGAGATACTGATTGTAAAGAAGAGTCAGAATGTCTCTCTCTTTCTCTCTCTCTCTCTCTCTCTCTCTCTCTCTCTCTCTCTTTCTCTTTCTCTCTCTCTCTTTCTCTCTCTCTATCTCTGTTAGCCTTCATCTGTTCTCGCTCTTCCAGCAGGCCATCCATTCTCTTTTCACAAAAATCGCTCTCTCTCTTCTACTCCTACACTCCCCCTGTTCTTGACTCATTCTTCTCACATGCCCTCCCTCCCTCTCTCTCCCTCTCTCTCTCTCTCTCTCTCTCTTTCTTTTTTCTCTCCCTCACTCTGTTTTTTTTTCTCTCTTCCTGCTGGCACTGTGTTAGTGGAAAACGGATGATGCAGCAGAATATGTGAGTATGGCAAGCAGATGAGGTGAAGTGGAACTGTTGTATGTGTGTGTGTGTGTGTCGTTGCGTAAAGCTGGTTATGAAATCTCCTCGTGGAGCCTTCACTGCCCTTCACTTTGCTGCGATTGTGCTGTCTCACAGCACAGACAGATAAGGATGAGGCAGCGCTTTTTTTCAGGCCGTCAGCGCAGAGTTCATTAGAGCAAGTGGCTTTGAGTGCTCTCTGCACAAGTATCTGTACAGTACAGCCACTGTACACACACAGCACGCACACGCAGATCTAATTCTGATTGTTAGCTGGGCGGCAGCGATGATCAGAGACACCAGCAGGAGATTCGAAAAAAAAACCTAAACTATCGCAGTAAAGGAAGGCAAGAAAAATCTAATTGTCAAATATGGGCAAGAGACTAAATTCATTAATGAATAAATGATATGTAATAAACCAGAGACATCCAGCTCTAGTCCTGGAAAGCCTTGGTTTATGCAGGACTGTAACTGGACACCCTCAGAATAGGGAAAAAAAAAGAAATTATTGCTAGGGGTCCAAGCACAGAATATGGACCCTATTACAATTGTCAGGATTTTATTACTGCTTATTATTTTTCTTGTATTTTCAATGAAGAGTCTTTTGTAAGCTCAAAATAGTCTGTAAATAGAAAAAGTAGCAAATGCAGTTGTATGCAAAACTTTGTGCGCCTTTGGTCAAATTAAGTACAAATAAGGACACATCTTGTACAGCCTCTACACACTTCTGCACCTTTTAATGCACATTATTTGCTGAATTTTACAAATTGGGACAAAAAACATAAAATATGACCTGTGCAAAAGTTACAGCACATTTTATATTTGTTTTTTTCTGATATGTTGGACTGATCAAATAGCTGTAATAAATTATGCATTAAAATGAGATTGTCCCCCAAAAAATGATCTATTATATACACATTGCTAAAGTTTCAAAACATACCATTCATTCCTCAGTCCATACAGTCCATATATACAAAGTAAGCTACAAAAACAGCTTGTTTGAATCCACTGTTTCTGTGATGTCACAAAAACCAACTCATTTACGCATATCCATCTGTTAAGCCCTGCCCAATCATGCTGAAGTTATAAGAAGTGTTTCACTCTGGACGGCTGTTTGAATGAGGCACAATACAGGGCAGCCAATGAGAACAGAGCTCATAAGCCTGTTAAATTCTGAGGAATAAAGAGAGCTCGGAAAATGGTCACGTAAAAATGAATTATGACTATTTTTGGTGTATAAAACCACACTTTACACTGTAATACAGCCTCATGGTGAAAAATAAATTAAAAGAAAATTGTAGAACACAATCCTTTTGACTTATTTTCACTTAGAAATCAACAAAACGTAATTTGACCAGGGGTGTGCTAACTTCTGCAACAAACTGTACATTTTCCGCTGTAGTACTGAACCTCTGTGGACTCTTAAAACTGCCAATGGAGACACTTTTGTCCTAGATATTCAAATACTGCTAGAAGCTTTGACGTTCAAAAATGGGGACCTTAAATGCAAGCTGGGCAATGACCCAAAGGCTACAAAAGAGCAAGAAAGTGGCAATAAAGGCTTTTACAACTACTGTTCAAAAGTTTGGAATCACTATTTTCATTATAGAAGTTTCCAGAATGATGAACAGAGCGGTAGATCATTTCATCATGACTGAAAAATAATCAAGTAAAATTGTCTTCAAGAATGCCTCATTCTTCAAAAATGGTGGTCAAATCTAAACAGATAGCTTAACAAGACATTACTGTAAATAGATAATTGAAGTGAATTTGTTATTAATTAACGTCTTGATGTTCCCAAATAATATAATATAAAATATTAATAAAAAATCTTAAAATACATTTTGTTTTTCAGTTTACACTGTATACATTTTTATTGAATACAACAACAGCAGTTGTTAATATTTCAGACTTTTGGATGACAGTGTACCTTGGTACCAAATGGTGACCCTTATGATGATGGTTGTAAACTAATGATTATAGTATATTATTAATAATTTAATCACTTATAGTATTGTTCCTTGTATATGTATTAACATATCCACAGTCGTAAGCAAACGTTTGGGTGTCCCTGGTCAAATTACGTGTTTTGTTGATCCTCTACAGGGGGCACAACTCTGCACATTTTAATGCACGATTACTGTTTTTAACATAATTAAAATGCTGAATTTAACATATTGGACAAAGAAAAAAAAACATAATTTATGGCCTGTTCAAAAGTTACAGCACTTTTTATAATGTATGTATGTTTTTTCCTAAATGTTAAATGTTAAACTCAGCTGTGTTTAAGTTTGTTCTCAGTAGAAGATCAACAGAATGTTATTTCACTGAGGGTGTTTAGACTTTTGCATACAACTGTACATAAAAGATATCAAATATTTGAATAGTTAAGATATTAGTTTATAAACATTAAATCTACACTTTTTAACCTGGCTGGTAACTCACTTGCTCACTTTTAGCAGACTGAAGAGTCTCCATAATGGGAAGCTGTTAGCACTCAAATAGCTGGGGTGCTTCACATCAGTGACACTGTGTGTCCTTGTTAATATAAGCACTGATTCCGAACTTTTGAATGAAAGAGTATGGAGCACTATTTATGTAGCTGTAGTTTAGCATGAAGTCGATGACATCATGTTGTTGAAACTGTATGACAGGATGTTCCATTCATTGAACTGTGATCCACACTTACATGTATATGTGTTTGTGTTGTAGGAAGCAATCATAGGAGGGCTACAGCCTGAGACCACCTACTCAGTTACAGTAGCCGCCTACACTATTAAAGGAGACGGAGCACGTAGTCTAGCACAGACAGTGCAGACCCCTGGAACAGGTACGTGTCTGTGTAACTCTGTATGTTTGTGTGTGTGTGTGTGAGAGAGACCATGAGTGCGACAATTTATGTGTACCCGAGTGGGTGCAGCCATCTGCATTTTCGTGTGTGGGAGGCCGCAGCCATGCAGTGCTTAGGAAGATTCCCTGTGTTTCCTCCAGTTTGAAAGGAAAAAGTAAGCTACACAACCTGGACAGCTATGGAGGGCTTATCCATGACAGCCACTCTTAGGGTACACTGTAAAGTTGCCTTTTTGTTATTTTTTAAGGGTTCTTAGATTGTCGGTATTTGTTAGGGCAGGCCCCCCCCGTACACATCTCTAATCCTCTTCAAGGTCCACATGAGGGAGGAAAGCAGCTCCTCTGCTTTATGTTACGCCCAAATGCTGATTGTCATGGCAACAAGGTTTTATTTTTAGAGTTTCTGCCAGCGGATAGAAGTTTAGAGGCAAAAAAAAATTAAATTCACAAATCAAATTTGCACAATTTATATCCCTTACCCAGCGGTGGAAAATAAATTGTGCTCTGCTGCTATCTGAGATGTTGGGAACACTTTACAATAATGATGGATAAGACGTGTATTAGCTCTTACTTCATTATTAACTAATCATGAACAAATCAGGTATTTACAGTTGTTCATCAATAATTAATATGTTCACACTACTTTGTAACATATAACCTAATACTTCACAATGAAGTAATAAGCTTCTATTTTAGAATTAAGAAATCATGCAGGGATTGAATCATTATTAGTTTATAAACTAAGAGTCTATATATGTTAATATGTCTACATTTTTTATTACTTCACAATTAAGTAATGATCAACAAATCAGACATTCAGATTCACTTATACACTGTTAGTGAATATATTATATGACTATTTACAAAAAGACATCTAAAAAAATCTCCACATGAGTTGGTAAACATTAAAGCAGCAGTGATTTTCTTGGTCATGTTTTACAAATTAAGTTTAATATAAACTACAAGCAAACAGTTTATCTGCAACAACCTGTAATCTAAAGTAAAAAATCTGTTTATATAAATATCTATTAATAATCAAGTCATTTGCAAACTTCTTTACACTAGAGTAGGAGATATTAGTCAATAAACAACCTCAATAAACACTCCAATCCATCCCGTCTTGACACCTCTATTAGTGACAGAAGACCAGACCACAGTTAAGGATGTAGGCCTGAGTTGATCCTTTTTATTAAACTTAAGGTAAAAACAAACACTGTAAACAACACATGAAGCAAATGATGCCAGACACAAACTGAAATATGAGAGCTGCTTACATCAAAGACAAGAATAGAAACCACTTGTGAAAGGAGGGGTAACAAGCTACACACAGGTGGAAACACTAATGATAAGGTGGGGCTACAGAAGAGGGTAGAGCCAGAAATAGGACACTGTGACATCACTTTAGATTAGAGGTTGCAAAGATAGTTATAAGTCATTTGTAAACTACAATAATGGTTCATCTGCATTTTTATATGTTTATGTATCATCAGAATCATGTGCTCAAGGAAAGGGCTCTGAAGCACAACTAACGTTACAAACTGTTCTTCCATATGTTGCGTGCAATTACAGATTTCCACCAGAGAGGTCTCCAAATCCCCAAAACTTACATAGTGCAGCTTTACTATTTGTCCTATTTTGAAATATTTGAAGGGTTTAATTTCAAAACACTTTATAGACCACTTTCAGGAATTTTCTTTTTTTCACTCTTCATTTGTGCTTTACTTATAACTGGATCTGAATAACTGTACTTTCACATTACGCTTCCAAGAGCATACCTTTAGTCCTTACATTTTCATTTAAATCTTGTTACAAATTCCAGACAGCATGAGATTTTTCTTTTTTTATCTTCCTTGTGCCAGTGAAACTGCAAATCGAAATGCCCAGGTAGGCTAATTCGTCTTTGTGCCAGAAACAGTACTGTCTATTAGTCACTGCACTGCAAACATGGCTGCATTGCTGGGGAAGATGAGGAACAGGGGTGCTGTGGCTTCATCCAAATCATTGAATGAAACTTCCTTTTCTATGCTGTTTCCTTGATTTCGCCTGATCTGGTAGCCATGTGGATCCACATATCAGTATATTTATTGAGGCCACAGGCTACAGATCAGGCAAAATTAATGATAGCAGCAAAAAGGATGTACTGGTTCTTAATTTTGTGTCAAACTTTATTATTTTTTTTATTTTACTAAAGCAGATATTTGACTCCATACTTGCACTTTTAAAGGGGAAATTCAATTCCAGCAGATTTTGGTAAAAAATATTTAAAATGTAAACAAATTCATTCAGAATGATATGATGTGAAATGCACCATTCTAGAAAAACTCACTGACTCAGAATTGTTGACAGTGGTAGTGATAGGAACCAGACATCTGAAGAGTTTAATTTCTATATAAGCTCCCTCACAGAACGTTATTACACTAAGTGGATATGAATATGCCTGCCTGACGCCTGTTTTTGGTTAGTTTGAGATACGGTTTTTTGCTATATTATGTTTTTTGAAAACACATTTATGGTGGAGAGGTACATGCAGGGTGTTATGAGGCAAAATAATACCCTAAGAAAACTTTTTTCAGATTTACCACCATTTTAACATTATCAAAATAATATATAAACACTCACATGTAGGTTCACTGGTGGTTTGGGTAGTAAATAAAATGGCTGTATTTCCACTGTAGATATTGTGATACCTGGTTCCTGCTTGTTCACCATCACTGTAAAGAAATCTGAGTCGGTAGGTTTTTCTACAATGGACCGTATCACATGAAACCACTCTGAGTGACTCTGTTTACATCTTGTTGATTTAATTATGCAGATGTTTTTAAAGATCTGTGTCTGGAGTTGCTCTTTTCATTCTGCACTGGAGCTCTGAGGCAGATATAGCTAACAGGTATTGAAAAGGCAAATGGATAAAAGTCATCTAGCTACAAACAGTAGTAGTATCTTGAATGTTGTCCATATTTCTGTCTCTTTTTATAGATAACAGTATGTCATACAGGGTCAGAAACCACACAAGCAAGTCTATTCGAGACTACTCAACAAAGCACTGCGGTTTGAGCACTTTGTGCAGTGCTAACTCATGACTCTAAGCTTCCATTTCTTAAATACATCAGCTTCAAAGCTCTGGTTTAAAACTTAAGAGGCAAGTTTTAGTAGGAAAAATATGTACATTTGATCATTTTGTTGACCTATCTTGTTCAGTAAATGTGATTATCTGACTTATCACTTTGTCTTCTTTCTTTCTCTCACTTTTTCAGTCCCTGACCCTCCATCCTTGTCTGTCCAACTGATCAAGGAGACATCTGTCATGGTGTCCTGGATGCCCCAAAACAAGTCTGGTCTTCCATCAGACATTATGGGCTTCCGTTTGACCTATGGCCTAAAAAACAACACCCCGTCATTCTCCATCGACCTTAAGCCTCCAGAGCGGCAGTACAACGTGACTGATCTGCTCCCCGGTGCCACCTACACCTTCCTCCTGTCCGTTAGAGGGCGCTCCGGTCATGGGCCAGAGGCTCTGGAGGAGCTGAGCATACCTGAATACCCCCCAGCTGGCTTCCCGCTACTCTCGGAAAGTGCTAACACCACCTGCTGCTCGCTCCAATTCTCCTGGCTGCCTCCAGACCTGGGAAGACGCAGCCTCATCACTGGCTACACAGTGGCCTATGGAGAGGCGGAAAATCCGCAGGAACCACGACATATCATGCTTATGTCCCGGGACACCAGCTACACCATCCATGGGCTGAATCCGGACCGGGAGTATGATGTGAGCATTCGTGCCCACAATAGGGCTGGGCCCGGCCCATTCAGCCCACGTGTACGCTACAGAACTGCAGCCTTCGACACAGGTATCAGCTTTCTGCCTTGGGGTGAGGCAAGAAATCCTGGGCCTATTAAAAATCTATAATCCGTAATTTAATCTATAATACTGTGCAAAAGTCTTAGGCTACATAACGATAACTGATAATTAGGGATGTGCAGTCCAACCAGTTTTGGTATTCGGCTAAAATGAATGTAGAGCTGTGGCTTATCTTTTTGGGTATTGCCACTGGTGTTGCACAAAAAAATTTGCATTCCGCAGAAAAATACATTTCAAAACATGTTTTACTGTCAGATGAGTGAATAGCTGAGGGAAGTCTGGAGGTTTTAGTGTCAGATAAGTAACATAATGGAGCCTCAGATGAGCTAATGAGCTAAAACTACAGCAATACTGGATACTGATGGAGACTCAATGTCAAAACCAAATCAATTTCAATACAAATACCAAAATGATACCCTTTTTCTGATTGTGAAAAACAACACAGGTAAGAAAGAAGTATTATTTGTTAATAATAATCTTCCCATCTTTTGGCCCTACACATTAATCAGTTCACCTGGATGCTGTAAACAAAAAAATAAAGAAACGAAAAAACTAGAAAAAAAAACATTTCGGATTTCCTGTGCTGAGGTATAGTGTTAATCATTAGCACTGATTTGATGATAACCTGACAATAAAATCCGGTAAATGTTTAACCACTAATTATAGTCATACAATGAAGAAATAATATCTCTCCAACCAGTTAGCCTTCATAAACTAGAGAGGCTAAACAGTAAAATAGGCTGTAATCAGCCTTAACATTACATTTGGGCACTGCTCTGTGACATTCATCCTCCCTCTCAACTGATATTCTTGGAACTGGCCCTGGCACTTAGTCAGAGCTCTCATCTACAACATGAAAACAAAACGTTGTAGTTAATAGGGCTCGTTCATGAACTCCTCTGAGAATGATTTAACCAGCTGACTGAATCTAATACCAAGATGCCACCCGAAAAAAAAGGTTTTAAGATGTACACATTAACACTAATGCCACCAAAGCCTGAAGCCAAGCCTCAAACTCCACATACACACAGCACCTGCTGTAGAGCTTTGAGCTCCTATGAGTCAGAGGAACTCCTCCTGCTGCTAAGCTATTTTAGCAGAATGGGCAGTTACCCAGTGTGTGAGCCTTTGAGTAACTTTGGCTAAAATAAAAATAATAATTTCGAACCATTACTACTCAGTGGATTCAGTTTCCGCTCATTCAGAGTGTTCCTTTAGTAACAAAAATCTACCAGCCTTAATGCGAAGGTTTCATTGCATTAAAAATCACATCCACAAAAGTCAACTCGGAATAAAAAGAAACAAATTAGAAATGAAACTAAAATGAATACTGGAGGTACTGCTTCTAATGTTTTTTCCCTGTGTGGCATCACATATTAATGTTTATTTGTAGTTATTCTGATGTAAATGATATGCTGCTGATATGCTGGTATCTCTGATGGCTTAAATATGCAAATGAGCCAGGTTACTGAATTGTGCTAAGAGCATCCTGACCAATCATAGATGTTGTGTGGGTAGTTGTTGGAATCAAGGCATTCATAACGCAACAAACATTAAATAATTTTGACCAAAATAGTCTTTCACCATGCATTAATTGTTAACTCATATGGATTGGAAAGTACAGTTGTATGCGAAAGTTTGAGTGCCCCTGGTCAAATGACAAGTAGAAGAGATAATACATTCTCTACTGTACTTTAATGTACAGTTACTACGTATTTGATGAATTAAGCATATAGGAAACAATACTAAACATATAACGTAGCCTGTGCAAGGGTTATGACACATTTCAAGTTTTTCTTACTTAACTTTATTTAATTTTTATATATTATACTATATTAAACCCTGCAAATATATAGAAATTGTGCACTAAATGTGCAGATGTCATCTTTAAATGTGTTGTCTGTGGAGGATGTGCTTATTTTCACTTGGAAAACCAACAAAACATGTAGTGTGACCAGGGGTGTTCAGACTTTTGTATACAACTGTACATCTCAGTTGCAGTTGTACCAATATAATCAGCACTATTCTAATGTTATACAATGTTTCCACAGACAGGAACACACCTACTAAACATATAAATACAGTAGCTGTAGACAGTTTCTTTGGCTGGTCTAAGACCTTTGCACAGTATCATTTGTTTAGCTCTAGGCCCCTCAGTCATTTAAAGTTCTCCCCACTTACGCGCCCCTGTACCCCGTCCCAAACCTGGATGAGAGAAAACCACCACCACCACCACCTCCACCACCTACCTCCACCTTCATCCCTACCCCAATCTACATGACTGGGACACCCACAGCAGGACACTTTAGTGTCCGGCAAACACTCCTGCCCTCACCCGACCTGAATGGAGAAGTGACTGGGGGCACTTTAGAGTGCGACACACTCACAGACACACAGGTAACAGTCGATAAGGCGGTGATTACAGAGGTAAGTGGAGAAAACAGCTGTAAGTCTGAGTCCTGGTTGGGTGTGGATTCTAAGGTAAGTCAATGATGGTAGGTTTGCGACCCGTTCTGCTTAAATGTGTCCCTCTGCTGATTTATCTAGCATTTGTTTTCATAATCCCTTCTTTAACTCTACCCAATCCCCACTCCAGTATGTTGTGTGGCACATGAGAATTTGGCATTTTCCTTTGAAGTGGCAGCAGATTTTTGCAGCCTTCTCTCTTCACATTTAACACCCTGTGTATATTCATTTGCTTTCTTCTCTCACTACCTCCCTTTAAAGGAATACTCCAGTGTTGTTCAGCCTAATCCCTGACTGTCGTTTGGTTAATTACCAGAGACGGTACTTTTGACATGTTTTTCCGTATTGAGAAAACAACAGAAAACCCACTGACTTGAGAAACACAATAGAATAGAATAGCTTCAGGAGCAGCAGGTTAAAAACACTGGCGTATTGCTTACCCCTTACTCCAGTATGTTGTGTGGCTCTCGAATTTGGCATCTTTCCACTGAGGCACATGCTCACTCTTTGTCCATGTCCATCTTAACCACTTGAAACTCCTCTCAAAATCCTTCATACGAAATCTAGGCCAGCTCTCTCTGGAACGTCGCCACGGTGACATATGTGGCCCTCTGCATCCGACCAACTGTTACAGTCATCCTCACACCTTCTCTGTTCCCAGAATTCCCTGCACTGCTGCCCGCCGGAGCCTGGAGCCCACACACAGCCCTGATCTCTGCGACTCTAATATTTCCTCACCCTCTCTTATTCACACTGACGTGTGCGCAGTTAGCGTTTGATTAATGGAGGTTAATTTTCCCCCCTCTCTCTCTCTCTCTCTCTCTCTTTCTCTCTCTTTCTCGCTCTCTCTCTCTGCGGACAGACGTGCCCAGGAACTTCTCTGTGAATTTGGCCACCAAAACAAGCGTGTTGTTGACATGGGAGTTCCCCGAAAGCAGCTCCCCCTATCGCTTCACTGTGAGTATCACCATTATGTCAAACGCACAGTACACTACAATAAAGTGAAAGTCTACCTGAAATAGTTTGTGTATCCAGTCAAATTAAGCACTGTTTATCAGATTATACCATTTAAAAGACAAAGTTCTTGTCTTTCTATAATCTTTCATCAAAATGTATAAACCAACCTTTGAATTTCATATCCAAATGGTTTGTGTGTTTAATTTGTGTATTTTTCTGTAACCAAATTCTGCTGTTGCCAGTTCTGCTGTTTAGAGAACAATGTTAATATTTTTGTTTTATTTTATGAAATTACAAAATACAGTTTGACAAAATCCAATAATGTTCAAAAAATAATTTCATAAAAATAATAATCACAATAAATAATTCAGCTGCTAAACAGTGTAGTCTATTAAGAGGAGGCTATGGTTACCAAGCAGCTTGCCGCTGTAATACAGAATTCAGCTTATCTGTTGCATGTTTGTATGCTGAGTTTTTTGCAGTGGCTTTGAAGATTTTAGAGCAGGGGTCTCCAAAGTCCAGTCTATTGCTGCACTGAAATCAATCTGTTATAAGCTTTTACTGGAATTGGACACTGAATGAGTTTGCATTCTTGCTTTGAAAAAATCACAGTGCATCCAACAATAAAGGCGTCTTTGTGCAGTATTGCATATTGTGATAGAAGCACAGTAGCAAAGAGAAAACTCTATTTTTACATGCTGACAGTGTGGCCAACATGGATGTGCATAAGCTGTAACTCCACTGACAGCAGATTTAAATGGGTTTAGGGTGACCACCTCCAAATTCAAAGAACCTGCGAGATGCTCAGTTGAACTTGGTTAATTGTTTTACACATCTGTATTTTTCATATTTTGAATACCCTCAGGTATTTTAATATGGTCCAGTCTGGTCCCCTCTCTAAGGATAATAGATGAATAAGGTATAATAGATGTGGACAAGTTAAGTACTTGTTACTTACCAGTTCATGCAGTTACATCATCCACCCTTGATTCTAAAATCTGATGAACCACCTTAAAAGCCATTGCTAAATTTTTGCCTGTTTTTTACAAATTGTCTTTTTGTATGATATATTTTCAGTGCTCTAGAAGTACTGTCAGTACTCATGATATATCCTGAAAAGTATATTGTGGTAGAATTTATCATGATGACAATAACACATCTCCATATTACCCACCCCTCACTGGAAATGTTCAATAAAATGGTATATACTATGTTCTGTTTCACATTATTTTATACTGCTTGTTGTCCCATGTAGAGCAATACTTACATAAGAAAGTTTGGAAAGTTATGTCATATAAATATTCACCATCATTCAGTCACACATCTGTAAATCCACAGTGTTATGTCTTCTGTAAACTCTTTTGTGTTGGAACTCCTCTGAAATGTCTATATGATTTCCACAGCTCTGTTGCAGCCGCTGTAGTTTTCTCCGGGATTAATAAAGGCTTGTCTTATCTGACAGTGTTCTGTTTGGAACCACATAAATCAGTTAAATAGTGCCAATGGGGGACTGTTGTTTGCTTCATTATGCATTACCTTTATGCACCTGTAAGCAATCATCATCAATCTAGCCTAGTTAATGCTTTCAGGAAAAACAAAAAAACATTAGTAATACCCAATTTATTGCATGGACCGTCATTGTATTGAGGTTACAAAATTCTTTTCAGGAAAGTTTTATTGGTGTTGCCCACAGGCAGCTACTTTGGAGTAAGGAAGACTTATTTCATGTCTGTCTGTTTGAGAGATTACAGAATCACTTAATTAACACCTTATTCGGAAAAAAAAGTCCATTCCAGTTTCTTGAGCAAGTTTTCTTCTTGGTTTTGACAGATCCAGCAAAAGATTAGCCTGTTAAAGATACTATATATACTGCCTGTCAAAAGTGTGAGCTTGCCTAGCCTTTTAAAACACTTTGATTAAATGAGCATGTCTTCTTTGTGACTTGTTAAATAGAAAGCTGGCTGTTTTTCTTTGTAAAAGCAGTAATACTGATTGAAGAATTGACAAAATGATTAGCTTGTATAGGCTTGCTGTGATGTTAGCACAAGCAATGGTTGCATTTACTCAGTTCCATTTACTCAAATACATTTTTTTATAAAGTAATTTCAAATAATAATAGTTTTACTTGCACTCAATTATATTTATATTAGGGATATACCTTAACAGTTACTTTCACTGAATATACTTTTACTGTTTTACATTTTACTGTTACTTTTTAGTCATTAACACTTAGTTACTAATTCCTTTTCTATGTTTCATTTCATTATGTTACATTAGTGATGGCATCTGTATTGATTTGTGAATGGTCACCCCTTATTTTAGACCAAAAAGCAAAATAGAGCGTAATAAACTTTCGTTTCTATGCTGTTAGATATTAGTACCGTATGGTACTGAATACTCTGTAGTCTCTTGCTACTTTCTGCTATTTAAGTACTTACCTGCTACTTTTGTGCTTCCACTCAAGTTGTTTTGTCAAATTATTGCTTAGAAGTCACTCTTAATACCAAGGTAGACAATTTGACTTCTTGGACATGAAAAACATACCTAAATTATTATTAAATTGATTTTTTATGTTGACAAAGCACATGCAAGTAGTTTTGCAAGAATCTTTTTCAAAATCAAACATTACTCAGAAATTTTCAATTTCAAATTTGATGGTCAGTGTGTAGAGATGGCACCGATTGGTTTCCAGGTATCTGTATTGGACTGATATCAGTGAAAAAATAATGAATGTAATCACAATCCTGCAATACATCTGTCTTAAAATAGCACGTATCTCAATTCGGCATGATAGCCTACTTTTAGATCATCATCTTAAATTAAATGCTCCAATTAAAAATGGATAATTTGAACATTAACTAGTTTTCAACCATCAGATTAGTATCAGTATCGACCGATACTTAAGGTTCCAATATCAGTATCAGAAAAGGAAAAGTGGTATTGTGCCATCTCCAGCAGTAAATGTTTACATTCACCAGAAATAGAGCAGATTTATTTGATGTCATCAGAGTCATTTCATTTCATTAAGTTTTATGAAACACATACAGACTTAGAGATTAGCCTTGGGCACAGATACCGCTATTGCTGCCGTCTTTGGCAGCATTGTTTGTCACGTGAAGGCCAACAAACTCCACTTAAATGAATACTTTATTGTCTGATATTACGGCTGTTCAATTCCTGTGTATGTTAATCATATGACTTCATATGATAAGTAGAGTGTAAATGTGTTCTCAGGTGGAGTATAACCGTCAGAAGATGGAGGTGGACGCTCGCTTGAGGAAGGCTGTCATCCCCAACCTGTTGCCGGACACCAGCTACGACTTTAAAATCACCAGCCCAGAGGGCAACATGGGGGGCCTGAGGCACCGCATCAACGCCAAAACCTCTCCCCCAATTGCCATCACCCGGCCTGAGATCGACCACACCCGAGACACCGAGACCACCATCACCATCATACTGCCCTCACTGGACCCCAGGACCACTATGAGGTGAGTGCAGGGAGCACACACGCACACACCTTTCTGAACCTATTAGAATTCAGAACCATTAGCCTACTGTGTTTTGCACACAGAGGAATTAGACCTCCGCATTCAACCCATCCGTGCAGTGAAACACACACACACTAGGGGGCAGTGAGCACACTTGCCCAGAGCGGTGGGCAGCCCTATCCACGGCGCCCAGGGAGCAGTTGGGGGTTAGGTGCCTTGCTCAAGGGCACTTCAGTCACGTACTGTCAGCTGAGGGGATCGAACCGGCGACCTTCTGGTCACAAGGCTGGTTCCCAATTCCCAAATCAGTGAGTGGTTGCATTGGCCGGGAATCGGACCCGGGTCTCCCGCGTGGCAGGCAAGAATTCTACCACTGAATGATAAAGTAAAAAATAAAAGTAGCAATAAAAGTGCTAAATTTAAAATTGGTATGTTCCCACAATAAGTTAGAAAATGTATTGCATATCCATATGCATGCATACACATATACAGACGCTTGTGTGGGTCAAATTCCAGTGAAAATTAGTACACAATTAGTACACATCCTCTACAGAGAACACATTTTAACCCACAATTACAATGTTTTTTTTTTCTTTTTTCTGAACTGAACAAATTGAAAATTGTCAACTAAAATTTATATATATATATATATATATATATATATATACACACACACACATTAAATATATAGATAGATAGATAGATAGATAGATAGATAGGTAGATGTGTGTGTGAGTAGTGAAACCCAAACTCTGAGACTGGAAATCTGAGATTTAAACCTAGAAATAAATAATGAACTGTTTTAGAATTATGAAGAATGGAATACAAAGAAAGGTTATGACAAGTAAAATGAAGAGGAAATATTAAAGATTCTGCATTACATCCAATTTGTGACATTGACAACATTAAGGCCTCGATACAAAAAAGGTCAGATTTTTTGTATTTTCTCTTCCATTAAAGCTTGTAATCAGAAGATTTGATCTACTCATCAGAGGCTTTTGAACCCATGATAGCTTAGGTAAACACTTTCATTAAAGTAAAATGGGGCATTTTAAATTATAAGAAATTCTGGAATCCATGTAAACATTTCGAAGATCCTACTTTTTACTCAAATTCTTATGCTGATGATATATATTGTAATGAAAAAAGATTAGATTAGAAAAGAATGCACAATAGGAGCATTTTCACTAAGGGTCTCAAGGCTTTTGGACTCTGCTGTATATAATTGTGCAGTTTGTGCATGTTTTATTAACTATATTCTGCTCTCCTATATTCTTCTTCACCGTCACATTGAGTGTTAGACAAATTTAGAAGTTTTATGTTCTTACCATGGAAATGAGACGAGATAGGGGAGCACATGCTGCTAGCGCACTATAATGACTTTTTTGATGGCCAGAAAGGTAAATTTTGAGATTTATACCTCAAGATCTGAGAGTAGCTTTTAAGCATCCTTACAAAATGTTACTGTTTGAGAATTTTTGTTTAGGAACTTTATTTATGTTTATTTATCATACATTGCATGACAGCTATTTAGCTGGTTTAGCAAGTCCAACACTTCGCCAAGTTTTTCTCTGAAAGGTGAGAATTGTCATTTGCTTCTTGTGTCATTACCATAACACAGTTCACACAGAGATGATAATCACATCAGAATTTGATCATGTTAATTATAAATACAATAGCATAATTGAATATTCATTATTTGTGTGATTTCAGTTTACCACAACACACTGCCCATAGAGATGGTAATGACAGCTCATTATTTGACCATCCTAATGATAATATAACAGCATAAATGAATGTTTGTGTGATTTTGATTACATTCATGAAATTTCACCTCTGAGTAGCATGCTTCAACATTCCTTAAAATTAAGTCAGCTATGCCTCTAATTGAAGCGTTATCTATGTATTAAAATGGTGTTATATGTATTTCAGTGTATTTATGACTCATATACATTCATTATTCATTATAATCTAAATGTATTTATCATACATTTCGGTGTAGCAGATTTTGCGTAGGGATGAGAGTTATATTAATGCACACACATTGAGTTATGCAATTATGACTAAGAGAGACATAATCAGACCTACAGATGGAAGCCAATGTGAACATAGGCTGCATTCACATAAAAGGATATAAGCAAAGATTGAAAAATGCACACAATTTAAAAAAATGATATACATAAAAATGCCCTACTAAAATATCTCGGCAAATGAACGTTTCTTAAATATTGTTAATAGCTGATATTTCTACTTATGCATTTGTTATAAGAATATTAGAAATGCATTCACTTTATTTCTAGGCTAGTCCTAAGCCTAACCCCCCTAAATAAATTCATTCAGAGAGGTTTGGCATGAAATGGTTCTGTTTCTTACCAGCAGTGGTGATAAAAACTAGAGGTCATGGTGTCTACAGCATATGTAATGTTGATAGTGATGAAATAGTGGTAAAACTGATTAAAAAAACTTTTGTATTGGTGCTATTTTGCCATAAACATATTTTTAAAAATATGCTATACTTCAAAACCTTCTCTCGGAACTATTGTAAAACAATGAGTTCATTCACATGCACTTAATAATCCAATAACTGCAGAAAATCAGATTTGATTGCATCATGCATCATCTAGAAGATGAAGAATATTTAAATCTTTTATTCCCTCAAGCATGTATTTGGTACCACCATCACTCCAAATGTGTTTTGTTGCCATCTCACGGCAATGCTGTTTGCTTTTTTCCCAGTACCACCATCTGTTCTCGCACATGCGCTGACTTAGAAATCTGAAAGAAATCAGAGTAAGAGTTTACATGCACTGAGAAATCTGAATACTGAGCTAAAATACAGCTGTCTTTATCTGATTTCTTAATCAGATTTCTAGACCTTACTCTGATCTGAGAAATCAGAGTATGCTGTTCACATGACCATTTGAATGATCAGATAACTGCAGAAATGTTAAGTGCATTTATAGCAGCGTATTTATAGCCATTTCTTGTAACACCTTTCGTCAGTTGTTGGGTTCCTATCACTACCACTGTGAACATTTGTGATTCAATAAGTATCCCTAGAATGGAGCATTTCATTCCAAACCACTATGACTGATTTTCTTTACATCTTATCTTTTTAATTATGCAGCAATTTTGACAAATCTGTGAAATGCTACCTGTTTTCATGGTATCCGCTTAGTAGTGTAGACAGTTGGACTGAGATTTATACTGACAAACCCAGTCAACTCCTCAGCACATAGACTTCTAAACACACACACTCAAGGACACTGAAGCACATGCATGCATAACCACACAAACACACACACACACACACACACACACACTCATCTTTTCCACATCACATACACACGCAAACTCACTGACAGACACTCAAGGACATCGAAACGCACAAGCCCACACATACATCAATCATGCATAACCACAGATCCCTCCCCTTAACGCACAAACACACACTACGGATTTGTCCAGTTCCTGCTCCGTTAATAATTCAGACTCTGGTCAGTTTGTATTGCTCTCTGCTTCCTGCCTGTTGATGCTGAGCTGAGCAGCAAAAATCACAAATGCTCTCCATCAGAAACCCCACAGAACTTTCAGTCTGCAATCCTGTTACTCTAACATGTTTCTGGAAGGCTGCAGCATTGTCTGATTTAGTGTTTTCCCTGCTCCAGTCCAATATACCTGTTTACCAGTGTAAAGCTTGATAATTACCTGGTGAGATTAATCATTCATTCATTGATTTATTTGCACAGGTAGAGAATGAATTCCTTCTGCTGTATTAAGAATGCATTGGCTTCCACAGGAGTGGCCTTGACTGAACATCTCACACCTCACACCCAGCAGCTCTCCCTCCTACCACCATAACACCTCATACTCCACTGAAATAAGCATCTGATCAGATGTGGTCCTGAGGTGGTCCTACGACTCCCACACTCATTATCTGTCTCCCATGTGATGGCTGCTAGAAAATAGCAGTTAGCACAATTGTGCAAATCACACCTGCATATGATGGCTGTTTTACTGTATCACTCCCAAATGATAGGACTATATAATATTTTATATTGCATATGTACCATGAGTGTTTGATACGTATATACATATAAATTATATAAATAAATAGAATTGCACAGTATTTTTCATTTGCACTAATATCTATTTATTTATATATATATATATATATATATATATATATATATATATATATATATATATATTCTTTTCTCAGTGAGGGCTTCTTTACAGCTACACACGGTTTCAGACTCATAGTGTTGAGTGTCTTCTCACAGTGGAAGGATGGACAGAAACACCTGTAGATTTTTTCAGATCTAAAGCAAGAGTGGAGCTTGATTTTCGTGTGAAGATGGTAGCTTCAAGTACTGTTAATCTGATGGTGGTCTACCAGGTCTTGCATGGTTGTTAGGAGTCCCATTTTCTCTGCATCTTATAAACATTTTTTGAACTTTAGTTTTGCAAACACTGTCCTTCTATTTTTTTCCTTCCTCATGCAAGTGAATTATCTTATGTTATCTCCTCAGAAATATCTCCTGGAAAATGAATAACTTGAATTCCATGACTGTTTTGACTGGATGTTTTCAAAGGGAACTTCTGTTCCTAGCAAAATATTGTTTTTTTCAGTTTTTGTGTTTGTTCCTTAAACCAGTATGGAGCCCTGCTCAAAACCAAAAATTGTCTGTCAGTAAGAAATAATGCAGAAATCGTATTTTTGTGGAACACTTTCATGGTTTCTTCAGTCAAATGTATTATTCAAAAATGCACACATATATTATTGAAAACAGTTGAAAATCTGTATAATTAATTCTTTCAGAGATGGGACTAGTTTGTAGACGAAGGAATTTGTAGTAAAACATTTCTAATTGCTTTGGATACCAGGAAACCTTAAGGAAAGCTAAAACAACCAGAATTAATTTTTACTCTGTTGCTTCAGTGCTCAAAAGTTGGATAAAACTTCATGACATCAGCTTTGGTAAGACATTCTCTGGTTCCTGTCACATCTTATGACCTGTACTGTTACAGTGAGACAGCTGTAGTCTCAAATTTGTGTTATATAGTCACATATTTCAAACATTTATTCATAGAACTCAGCAATTGCCCAATGACTTCCCTTATAACTGAGTTTGAGTTGTTGTTTTTGTTATGAAGTACAGGGTAAGGTGTTGAAATTACTGTCTGTAGTAATCAGTTGCAAGATACAGGTCCAGTAGACGAAGATTAGGTTGAAAAATGCTGACATCTGCACTGAGTAATTCATGACTCAAGATTGTTATAAGCTCATTGATTCAGGGTCTGGTAATCAGGAATCACTGCCCATTCTAAATACAGTACTTATCTGTTAAATGAGGGCTTGCCTGATGACAAATTGATATGTTGAGTCAAGCGTAGTATTACACAAATTCACCTGTATGTGCCAGTGCTCTTGGTGGTGTCCATCGGCTTGGAACCTGCTATTATGTTCCAGCGGCTCCTCAGGGAGTTCAGCGCTGAAAACATTCATTAGCTGACTCCATAGCACTGCTGTAAACCTGCTTAATGAAAGGCTTGAAGTGCCAGCTCACAGTGTGCTCTCTCTGTGCTTACAGGAATATCTATGTGGTGGTGGTTCCTCTGAAGAGAGGCAGGGGAGTAAACCGGCATCTGAAGAGCCCTGATGAAATGGACTTGGAGGAGGTATGCTACGTCACCGTTATTACCACCACAAACCTCTGGGAGAATTTTTTTTTTTTAACCTTTTTGAAAGGGGTTCTATGTGGCACCAAAAAGGGTTCTGCTATTGTTACGATGTCAAGCTTCTAACAACAGAAGAACCTTTGTGGGTGCTATATAGAGCCCTTTTCAAAAAGGTTCTATATAGAACAATATACAACATATTCTCCATCAATCTGGAGAATGATGCAAAGAACAATTTAGGCATGCAAATGGTTTTTTGAGTGTTCACGGTTTTTTACAGAACCATTGTCTTTTCTAAAGAACCCTTGAAGAGCCATCTTTTTAAAGTGTGTACTGTCACTAAAGCTAGTGCTACATCAGTGTCATTACTGTCACTAGATCATACATCTGCGCCATCACTGACACTAGATGGTCCGTTTGTGTCATTACTGTCACTAGAGGTGTTGCTCGATTACTGCCCAGCAAATAGGTCTGGTAGAGTTCACTCCAGTAATAAGACTCAGGATTACTTTCTAGATAAGTTGCATGTGCAGACTATTTTTCCTTATGTGGAATGCTGATTACACCCTGACTGCTGAGCAAGGTCTAGACCAGGGGTCGACAACCCAAATGTTACGAAGAGCCATTTTGTCCTTTCAACAAAATCAATCCACCTTGGGAGCCACAACATTTTATGCTGCCCATTTTACCATCTTGGCTGTAAATATGTCTCAGTATGTGCTAATGTACTTGTACAGGCTAAAAAAACTAATATAAACAAATATGCAGACTTGCTTTACTCTGCTTTAAGCTTTAGCTCAGATATAGCCATTTTTCTCACATCTCTGGCAGTAAACTTTTCAGCAAAAGTAACCTAAAACAGTTTCTTGTAAAATGTCTCTCAACGTTCGACTTTTTATGAGGCTGAAGTCAGCTTCTCATTCAGCAGCTTCTTGTTCGAATTAATCTTAAACTTTGTGACGTTTTAGTGTTTGACAGTTTCTCGTTGCAGATTAAATGTATCAGGAAACGAGTTGAGTGTTTATAAACTCAAATAAGACTAAATTATCAATGTTCGTCTATCTTTCGATCTTTCTCTTTGCCTTTTCGTTAGCTACTAGCTAAGCGAGACTGTTGTCTGTCTTCCTATGTGACCAGCAGTCTGTGCACCAATCTTCAGGGTTAAGGTCGGTGAATTAGCAGGTGTGCATTAACTCCATTGTTGAAGACCAATTTTTGTTAAAACTGTGTTAGAATGATCAGCAGAGCTTTGTTTTACTGCAAAGTAGGATTACTTTATTTTTATCTAGAAATCTAGCTCTTCTGTGGAGCTGCAACAGGGCAGTAAAAGAACCGCTCCAGAGCCGCATGTTACCGACCCCTGGTCTAGATAATTGACCTGTCTGTGCTCTGCCCACAAATGTATTCTTTCAGATAGTTTTTCAAGGTTGGACAAGCTTAATGTTAGCATTTAGCCTAATCCATTTTGTATAGATTTTGGATTTGCTTCATAATGTTAAGCTCTCGGTTTATAATACTACACTACCGAGCAGGACTGTGCTGTTGAATGCAGATTGGAAACTCATCTTTAATCAAAATATGGAAATGTGGACTGTGTTACTAATTTCAGATGATATTTATTTTGTATGTGTGTGAAAGGTCACACCGGTAAGCTTGATGAGGTGTCGTTTTTCTGTTGTGTAATTGAGCTGATGTTTGCATGGTGGCAAATTCATTGTCATTTCCAACCTGGCAAGTTTCAGTTAACTACAGCAACATATTCAAGCTCAGTAGTGCATTATTTTAAACTGAAAACTCAAAGTCACATAGCGAACCTAAACTCCAGCCTGAATTTATTAGGTTTTATACAACAGTTAGTTCTGAAGGCACAATCTGATTGGTTGTATCATTCTGCTGAGCACTGGTTGCTAAGCAAAGACAGAATACAATTGAGCCAATAAGATGGGTGGTGAAATGCTTTACAGATTGCCTGGAGCAAAACAACTTTCAGGTTATCCTGGCAAACATTAAAAAAGCTGAGATGATCCTGATATTGCAACAGTTTTATGGCTCTATAAGCAACAGTGCGGTAAAGTTTGTTTTATATTGGACATTTGTTGGATATTCTACTGTCTTTCCTCGGTTTCTCATGAAGTAAATGTCCAAAAATGACAAACCAACAGAGAACAGACTACCAAATAACATATCTAATGTGATCTGATGTGATTTTACCTTCTTTTATCTGACTATATGGGAAATATATGTTGCACTTTTTACATGTTCCCTTAATGACTAAGGCATTGGTGAACTGCATTTCTGAAACATTATGTTCAGTGAAAAATGTGAACAAATGTAGGTTTGATCATTTTTATTTAATGAGAAATCGAGGAGGAAAGGTTGAATGTCCAGCAATTGTCCAAAATAAAGATACTTTACCACACTGTCCGTCCAATGCCACCTATTTTGGCAAAAGGAATTGCAGATATTAAAGCACATTTGATATAATATTTGGGGATTCTTTGCTTTGCTTTTTAAATTTATTTTGCAGAGCTGCCATATAAAAGCAATAAAACACTCAAGGTCGTGTGTTATTCAGCCTGCGCCTGAATCACTGCCTGATGTTATTTGTGAGAACATACTCCCTCTCTTGTTCTATTGCTTAATAATGGGAGTTACTGTCATGATCTGACCAAATAGGTCAATTGGAGCTTACGTTTTTCTAGTAATCCTCAGTTTCTTAATAGAATGAATCAGGCATTTCTCTGGAAAAGCTAATTTACTAACCCACTATCCTTTAGCTTCTTAGCAATTTGGTCCACTTAAACTGAATTCCAGTTACAGCTCAGATGGGACAGGGCTGGTGGGTGGAAATCCCTTGTCAGGGTGGGTTTGTTGGCCCTCAGTGATGTGAGCACTGAGTGGAGATAAGTGCTGGGCTGGTCGGCAGTACTGCAGTGCTGGGTGCTGGAGGAGCGAGGGCTGCTCGTTCTGTCAGGCTTTAGCACATGACATGTGAACGGACGTAACATGGAGCAGTGAACTTCAGCCCACGCACACACTCGGTACACACTATTCACAGATCAATTACTCCCCTGAAGGGAGAGAGAGAGAGAAAGAAAAAGACAGACAGATAGATTGGTGGATGCTGACATCTCCATGGATCCTCTGATTCACTTGAGTAATGAAATCAGTAATGAAAAACTCTCTCACAGTCATGTCTGTTAGACACATGCGTAATGTCTGATTTTTGATACCATTTCAGTGTGTCTAGATGATTTATATCATCTTATTAGCAGATAATAGGACACTACGCTAACATAGCCAAAAAATGCACCATCTATAGGCTTAGCATTAGTGTAGCACTGCATAATATGGACAAAATACTAGCATTAGTACATACTGTGATTGTGACATGACTTTGAAGAAAATTAGTGAATCAATAATATGATATAGTTAAAGATTGGTAGTTAACTGGTCAAGACATGTTTGGAACCCACATTCTGCTTCTTTAGTTTAGAACTGGAGCAGCAAGGCTAAAATTGCTAACAAACACTAGAACTCAATAGTCACCAAAACAGCCCAAACAATTTCTGTAAAAAAACTATTTGGGTGACTATTGGGTTGACTGTTGACCATTGACTATACTATTCTAGTGTTTAGCTCCACGTGGCCTCAGTTCTCCACTAAAGAAGCAAAATTTGGACTCCACACATCTTAGCTGATTGACTATACATGGAAATTCGCCGAACTATTCCAGTAATTCATCAAAATACCTGCAAAAACACTCATCTGTCACTATGATTGGTCAGGTTGCTCACAGGACACAATAAAAAGATTGTGACTGGTTAGAGAATGCATTTATATATTGCAGTCTTCTACGCTAGCATTACAGCAAAAGCTAATATCACGATAATGATTAACAAGCCACATATGGTGCATCCCTAGCATAGATGTAGAAATAGAATCATTTTTTGTCTCAAATAAATTTCAAGAACTTAAAGAATTCTAATAATTCTGTTTTAATATTAATATTTCACACTGAGGTTAAATGCACTTAATATTTAATCAAATATATCATTGTCTACCCAGTTGTATTTTCACTAAGCTGCTAGCTAGTTCACTCGCAAAGTATGAGTTGACCTCTTCTCTTAGCTGTTGAAGGACATCAGTCAGAAGCAGCGCGACCCGCGGCAGAGGCAGGTGGACCTGCGACGAGCATACATCACCGCCCGATTCACACCCTCCACCCTGCCCGCATTCTTCACCCTTGGCGACCAGCTGGACTACGGTGGGTTTGATAACCGGGCGTTGGAGCCAGGCCAGGAGTACGTCTTCTTCATCCTCGCTGAACTCAACTCCACCACTGGGGTAAGAAGCTGGAGCTTATTGTCTAAGACCAGGTCTTTTACGTTTCTAAGTGATTAGTTTTAGATATAGTAGAACTTAATAAATTGTACAACAAAGGGTCAGTGTAGAGTTGAGTCAGCCCAACATTTCGTGTTGTCTTTTGTTTGTTTTGCAGTGTACATTATAGTTTATAGTTTGTAGTCTATATAGTTTATAGTTTAAACTTTTTGTGTTTTTGAAAACTGTCATTTTGTATTTTTTATTACAGTTAAAACTAGTTTTCAAATTAGTTCGTATTAGTTTTTATTAACATTAATAACCCTGCTACCGTTTGGTTCAATAACAGTTTTCATTGACCATCTTTATTAGTTTTCATTGACCACTTCATTCTCAGGTTTTGTTGTGTTAGTTGGAAGAAATATGAAAAACTTATGTTCTTTTTGTGTCTTTATAGACGTTTTTACTGAGTACCATATGTGTATTAGGGCTGAAAAAATGATACATTATCTCTAATGTCAACAATGAAAAATCAAGGAGAAATATTTTAGTTGTCAAAGATGACTTTACGACTTAACCTGAAGAGTACAGCTGTTCACCTTATACATATGTGAGCAGAGAGCGAAAACAAAGCACAATTATGGCTGAAAATGAAAAAAGAAACAAAGTCTGTGAGAATTTTCTTAAAATAACGATAAGGTAGACACATACAGCATATGCAGGTCTGATATAGGTTCCACAGAAGCACAGTCTGTTGTCTTTGACCACCGGAAAAGAAAACATGCTGGTGTCGATTCTGAAGCAGCAGAACAGTCAGTATTGCTTGTTACTTACTTTAGCTCAAAATGATGGGCTTTAAACAAAATGCCACATTTCTTTTCCATGGTGGTGATTTAGCTCTTAGTGAACAGTACCGTTTGTCAGAACATTTTAAACACAAAGGTATGCAAAAAAAGTCCTCAATGCAGGTGTGAAAGGGTTAATGACTGTACCATCATGTATGCATATTCAGAAAATACTCACCCAGTGCGTTTTCTATACTATAATATCTTCCAGCTCACATTCTGTTAACGCTCCCTGTGCGCCATACTTAGCCTCCTGCTGAATTTCTGTGTTCAGAAGATGTTTGTGGCCAGCCCCTACACTGACCCGGTCATTGCTCCTGACTCGGACCCCCAGCCTCTGGACGCTGGAGATGGCCTCATCTGGGTGGTAGGACCCGTCCTGGCCGTGGTCTTCATCATCTGCATTGTCATTGCTATCCTGCTCTACAAGAAGTAAGTAATGATGGTTGATCGATTTGTAAAATTTATGCTTGGCCAAAAAAAGTTGTGGTCAATGCTGATTATATGGGGCTAAAAATCACATTAACCAATAATATCAGCAAAAATAATTTTAGATTTATTTATTTTAGATTTTAATGTTGTACTTGGATAGTTTTACTTAAACAGTGCTTTACTGAATAAGAATATATTTTTTTTCTTAAACTCAAGCAACAGAACTAAAATAAATATTGTAGCGCTGGGGATGGATCTTTTTTAATCTATAATTTGTCGCTTTTTTTCGTTATTATTTTTCATTAATCCTCTTCAAAGAGACAATTTTTTTGTTTGTAGTAGTAACATCTTATAAGATGTTTTTGTTAGATTAGTTTTAGGTTCAGATTGATCAGCCTGCATTGCTGTAATATAGTTAAACAGAAGGTGCTTTAAATTGGCTTCCCAAGTGGTAAAACCGTTGTATTGTCAGGAGAATGCAGGTTCAAATCCCAGTTAATTATCAGTGCAATGTGGGCAGCCTTTTCTCCAGCACGGATAAAACCAGGGGTCATCAATATCGGCAGATATTATCGGCTAACCGAAATATAGTTGGGCCCTATCAGAATTGTGTACATTAAGGCCAAATCTAATTTCTTAGTTTTACCTCTACCCCTTTTTTTGGAGTGTCATCTTGCCCCTTAGATCGGAGTTACAAGTTGTAGTGGTTGAAATCTTCCCCTACGAAATGGGACAACCCTAAATAAAGAAGAACATTGCTTCATTAACAGGCTGCTAGCAGTGCTCTGTAGGCGACCCTGCCAGTCTGCAGTGACAGAGGAGAAGGGTAAAGTTCAGCAACCTCACTGCTGGGCTTTAGTTACATTTAGGGAATCATATGCCCTTAAAAAGGGGTATGACAGTCATTTATTATTATTATTATTATTTATTATCGCCCACCCCTAATTCTTTGGTGCCATGAAGCTGAAGTCAAATATTCCCCAGCTTCTGGTTCAGATTTTCCTGTACCACCTTAAATGGTAAAAAAGTTTAGCTAGCTAGCTACCGTGACATCAGCACACTACTAGCAATTTTTAATGCTTGTTATGAAAAAAGGCCCATAATACATTGAAAAGGCATTAATCTAAGATAATACAATGGTTATCATAATTTTTAACAGGGAAAATACTCACATTTGTGAGTTTCTTTGGTCACTTTTTTTTTCTCATAACACTCAGTTTGGAGTGTGCCTCTGAAAAACCTCTGTTTGGAACTTCGCCATACCCCTCTGTCTCAACAAAAATCGGGACACACTACGCCCAGACGCAAACATGCAAAATGAAGGGGTAAGGGTTAAAGGGTGAAATGGGATTGGGCCTAACAGTTGTATTCGTTGTTTTCATAAGTGTTTAGGTTCTCTCTGTTTTAGTTCAGCATTTTCAGCTGCAGGGGAGGCTGATTACATTAGAGAAGAATTGCCAGATTTAGCTGATTTATCAAACAAGTGAATTGAATGAAGGAATAAGTGAATACATGAACGAGATGTGGGTCAGAATGAGGGGAATAAGAAGTGCTGGGTTAGAGTGGTAGAAGAATGCAGCTCCAGTCTGACGGGGGGAATGTAAAAGCTGTGATTAAATATGTAACATGCTGCTATTTTGGGAGCGGAAGATAATAGTATTGGAGAAAAAAAAAAAGATTAAATGATATCAGGAGATAATGGAACAGCAGCCAAACGGCAGCTCTATTTAAGGGGAAAAAAGCCCACAAGTCGGAACGCAAAGTGAGCACGATATAATGACTTTCAAGCAGCAGCAGAACTGAGAGCCGACATTTGCGGCACTGTTTAATGTTTTTCTCCACCTTTACTGAGAATGAAAACAATTATATTCGCCCGGGGAAGAGCACACACCTGTCTCTGCTTGGCTGGAGCTCTGAATTGGCAGAATCATCTCGGACAGGGAGATATTTTCGCCTGCCAAATTACTAGCATGACCTTGCCTGTCCGTTCTGGCAGATATGATACTGTTCAAACATTAAAATCAACATTCTAACTACTTCACCAAAATAAAATCAGATTGGCTGCAGATTGGCTACGTCAAAATACCTGTTACCCTTTACATTGTATGTACATGGGAAAAAGTCTGGTTCCACTGACCTACATTAAAAGTAAAGTAGGTTATTTGAGGATATGAGATTTTCCAACAACAGCGATATATATATATATATGCAGGTTAAATAATTAGTAGGAAACAAACAAATATATTGTTTATTGCTTTATATATAAATATATACACACACACATCTTCTAAGCCGCTTCTCCTTCTGGGTCGCGGGGGGTGCTGGAGCCTATCCTAGCTGTCATCGGGCGGAAGGCAGGATACACCCTGGACAGGTTGCCAGTCCATCGCAGGGCATATATATATATATATATATATATATATATATATATATATATATATATATATATATATATATATATATATATATTGCTGTTGGATTTTACAAGAGCTTATAAAAGAAGGAAAACCAATCTTAACTTTTGATAGAAATTAATGCAGAATCAATTCATTCCCAGTACTTTTGGACCATTTCTGCTTGTCTGTTAATTTTGACACAGTATAAAAGACAATAGCTGAATAGCCTTGAGAATTAATGCTAATTAATAATAAAAATTAAATTAATATCCAGAATGAGATGTGATGATCAAATCTCAAGGCAGATATATTAACAAAAAATATTGTATATATTGAAAACTGATCCATATCTCATTCATTCATTCATGTATATATGAGCACTGAAACCGTCACTATCAGATAAGCAGTGTTTAAAGCTTTCATCTTTGAGATCAAATCAAGCTGTACTGTTGCTTCAGATCTAAAGTTTCTAGTTTATAATGTTTAAATGCACATTGTGCTAATGATATATATTTATACTGTACAGAAAATGACAATGGTATTAATATGACAAGTGACAGGTGATTCCAAACTCTTTAGCAGTAGCGTAAATCTACCCGTGAGCCTGACTGCTCTGAGAGCCGCTTCCATTTAGTCCGGAACCGTCTACTCCCTCAGGGCCCGGAGTTAAACGGTCCCCCGATGGAGCGCGCCGTTATCTGCAGGAGGTGTCATGTAGCCTGTGCATACAAATGCATAATATTGATTTTTCTTCTTTCTTTCTCTCCCTGTTTCCTGTCTCTCCCTCTGTCCTTCTTCACTGTCTCTCCTTATGTCCCCTGCCGCTCTCTCTCCCTCTGTCCCCCTCCACTATCTGTCCCTCTGTTCTCCTTAACTGTCTCTCCCTCTGTCCCCCTCCACTATCTATCTCTCTCTCCCCCCGCCACTATCTCTCCCTCTGTCCCCCTCCACTATCTCTCCCTCTGTCCTCCTTCACTGTCTCTCCCTCTGTCCTCCTCCACTGTCTCTCCCTCTGTCTTCCTTCACTGTCTCTCCTTCTGTCCCCCTCCATCGTCTCTCATTCTGTTCCTCATCACTATATCTACCTCTCTCCTTCTCTACTATCTCTCCCTCTGTCCCCTCCACCATCTCTCCTTCTGTCCCCCTCTGTCCCCTGCACCATCTGTCCCTCTGTCCGCTTTAATTCACTCTTTTTCTGTCTGCATCTCTCTTTTGCCCTTCTCTCTCTTTATCTCTCTCTCTTTGTCCCACTTTCTCCTTTTTGTCTGTTTCTCTCCTTAAATATCTTGCTCTCTTTCTCACTGTCTCTCCCCATTCTCTCCTTTTCCCTGTTTCTCTTTTATCTATCTATATATCCTTTTCTCTTCTTGCCCCCACCCCCACCCCCTCGCTCGTATTTTTGCGCTCCCTCCTGCGGCGATGTGTTCTGCGGGGATTTCAGTAAACCGGACAGGTAAGTCAGTGCTGTGCTCTAATTGCCGATGGGAGATTACAGTATTTATTCTGGAGGGAGAAAATCTTCAATCTCAGACACTGAAACCTGCTAATGGGGAAACGGCATGGCTAATAATAGTCCAATTGGCTTTCTGTTATATAACATTTAGCAGATAGCGGCTGGAACTGCTATTAATTGCCAGTTTATGCTTGCAGATTGCATATATTGATTCCTGTGCCCTGAGTCTAGTTAAGGCCCTGAGTTTGTGCGTGGGTGTTTTTTTTGTGTGCTGTGTGTATTGCTGCTCATTAGCAAGCGCAAGGACTCGGAGCCGGGCACCAAGTGTTTACTGAACAACGCTGAAATGATGGCTCATCACCCCACCGACCCCGTCGAGATGAGACGCATCAACTTCCAGACGCCAGGCTCGTAAACACACACACACTTCCACACATTTAATAGACACACTCATGCATATGGACACACACGCTCTGTGACCCTGCACATATGTGGAGAGAACACTGGGGCTTTGTATAGAAGCGATGGTGAAAATGAAGAACGACCTGCAGGGTCAGCCACTGTCCTTCAGCAGCTAAAGGAGGAAAAGATCAGCACAGCCATAGACCCCATTATAGCTTTACACTGCAGAGAGAGAGAAGAGAGAGGAAAAGAGCGATTGGTCTTTACATTTAAACGACTGCATTCTAGGGATATCCTGATCTAGTTTTTTGCCGCTTGATCCGATGTTGAGTATTGGCCAATTCAAAGTATTCCAATACCGTCAGACATAGAGTAACATGCACTCAATAATCCGATCATAATCGGATTTCTGCAGTTATCTGATTATTCAAATGGTCATGTAAACACCATACTCCGATCTAGAAATCCGGTTAAGAAATCTGATAAAGAGAGCTGGATTTTAGCTCAGTCATAAGATTTCACAGGGCATGTAAACTTGATTTGGTGCAGAAACCAAACATGAAATAAAGGATTTAAATGTTCTTCATCTTCTAGATGATATATGTTTGTATTTTCAGGTAAAGTGACTCAATGTTTAAAAAAAAAACTGCGGCATGAAGTTCATGTTTTACGTAAAGTTTGCGTCACGTCTTCTTCTGTGAATTTATTGGCTGGTTGGAAAGCTGAAATCCGATTACTGCCGGACTCATGTAGACCCAGAGTTTGCCATTATCATTATTCAAGTGCATTTAAACGCTTCGATCGGATTACTGACAAAATCAGATTTTCTGCAGTTATCGGGTTATTTAGTGCATATAAACGCATTCGTTGTTGAGTATCGGCCAATTCAAAGTATTTCAGTGCCATCACACATAGAGTATGTTTACATGCACTCAAAAATCTGATCGTAATCGAATTTTTGCAGTTATCTGATTATTCAAATGGTCATGTAAACAGCATACTCCGATCTAGAAATCCGATTAAGAAATCCAATAAAGAGAGCTGGATTTTGTGCATGTGCAGAAACCGACCAAAAAATAAGCACACAGCGTTGCCGCAAGATGGCAGCAAAACACTTTTGGAGCGACGATGAAACCAATTACATGCTTGACGAAATAAAGGATTTAAATATTCTTTATTTTCTAGATGATGTATGTTCACATTGTCAGGTAAAGTGGCATGATATTTTTTTTAAAAAGCCATTATCTGATTAGTCAAGTGCATGTAAATGCGTTGATCGGATAACTGTCAAAATTTTCTGCAATTTTCTAAAATTTAAAATCCCAAAGGTTTTATATCATGAGGAAGAATTTCAACTGGTATACCGGACAAGCTGTAAAATAGCTTCACACTGCAGGCATTTAGATCTCCTTAACTTATAAAAACATAACTCAGTGCTGCAGGTTGTAAATAATGCCTGTTTATAGCTTAATATAGCTGATAGTCGAAACTGATCCAAAACATCTGTCTGCAGTAGCTCTGATTCTCATCCTTTGGACAGGATCAGGATATTCATACCACATCTGTTTACCCTGATTATTACAACCAGGTTAGAAATTAGCTTCTTACTGTGACCTGTCCTAAGTAATCGTTTCTTTAAATGTTAAAAACCACCAGAGAATCATCAGTGTGACATCATACACCACCTACTCCTCAAAGAGCCCTATGCATTATTCAGCAGCTTGTAATATGCATAATATTTAACTATTAATTAGCCTCTTAGTATGCATACTCTTCAGCAGTGCCCGTATTATCATCTCAGAATTACACAGCCCAGATAGCCTGATTTTTCTTGTCGCTTATTCAACCAGATAGCCAACAAGTCATTTAACAAACAGACCTATTTGTCTGTACCGAAAACCTCTTATAGTTCAGTCCTGCAGCAAAAATGCTGTTGAAATCATCTGTTCAGAAATTGTTGTGAAAAGAAAATAAGGTCATTATATATATATATATATATATATATATATATATATATATACACACATATATATATATATATATATATATATATATATATATAATAATTATATATGTAATATAGTTTGTTCAACTCTTCCTCTCTTTGCTCATGTCTATTAATCTTGTAAATACCACATTTTCTATGTTCTATTGTTTTCTTATGTTTATTGTTTAGTATTAATTGCTTTGCCAATTATGTGACTTGTAATACTCATTCCAAAAAAGCAATATTAAACAGAAGAGAACAGCGAAAAGAGAGATAAAATAAGGGAGAATGGAAAGGAAAGGAGAAAGGAGAGAATATGGGGAAAGGGAGAGAAAAGGGCAGAAGGAGGGAGACAGAGGCAAAAGAAAAAGAAGAGCAGAGTGGAGAGAGAGAGAGCAGGCTTGAGCGTTTTTAATTAAATCTGACCTTTAGAGTTGGTGCAGAAGCATTAATTGACACTCGACATAAACAGATATTTGTGTCACAGCGTGATAAACACTGTCCACTGCAGGAGGCACTGCGCTGTTTTCTGGACAGGAGGGCCAGATGTACATATGAGCACAGGCGCAAATTGTGCCTTAATGTAACTGCAGTATACAACCTCAACACACCTGTATTTAACGTTCAGTTGTCTAATGGGTGCCTACCACATTAGACAATGCAAAGACGGAGCAGTAGATGCATACAGATGCAGATCTTGTCCGTCTAGAAGGTGTGTACACAGGTGGAGCGTGGCAGAGTTTGTACAGTTTGAAATCCAGTGGGAAACAATATTTGGACCAGAAACAAAGAAATATGGGCCATCGAAAGAGGTTTTGGCGATTGCCATATACAGGGTCGAACAGACAGCAGCCACGAAGGCAAAGAAGTCATATAGAACGGGAAAAGAGTATATAGCATCGCTACTGTCCTCCATTTTCATCCATCTTCTGCCTGCGCGTTTCTGTTGGTTGACAGGCCTCCACGTCAGAATGCGTTGCAGCAAAAGTTGAAATGGTTTGAACTTTTTTGACGCTCAACGAAGTGTCTTTTAACTGCATACAGACATGTTTCTAGTCTGACAGAGCTGATGCAGCATCCTAACTGAAATACAGTGGAGGATTGCGTTTCTGACGCTGCATCAGCTTCTAGAGTGTAGGTACCTTAAGACTGCAGCTTATTATGCAAACTGTGTAGCTCCGCCCACTAACTGTTCCAAGTTTAAGAGAAGCAGTGAAATCAAGCAGAGACAAAACAGAAAATGAAAGTTCAGTGATGAGATGGCAGTGATAAGAAATGTTCTTATCCCACCAAAACATTCAACAGAGGTGTTAGGAACGTAGAGGTTTTTACACAATAACATGAATTGTGTGCACATATTGCAGCTGCTTCATGCCACTGTTTTTCTTAAAGCAAGTCTCCCACCACCATGCTTTTGAGTCCCTAACGCAAATTTACAACTCGTTTTAAAAGCCAGAGAAAATTACAAACAAAACCGACTGCCTCATTTTTGCCGAGCACACAGCCCATAAATGGTGTGTTTAGGTTTGTGGACCAGTTTCGTACATAAAACAGGATGTGTCTGATTTACGTCTGATACTGACACGAAAAGATTATTATAAAATGGATAGTTTCGGTCCTAAAATCTGATTGGCTGAGCAGCATTCAAACCCACTTATGTTCTTAACTAGAACTAGGCAGGTCAGCTAGCTAACAGGCTAAAAGAGAGCAGCCTAAACAACTCCACCATTTATATCACAGGCTTGAATTAAAGTATTTAGGGTATGATTAACTGTAGAATGGCAGTATAAAAGTCTAAAAAATGTCACTTGAATGTCTGATGCTTCAAATGTTCATGTTTCACTCAGAAGTAGCATCAAACCCAGGCTGAATCCCAAACGGCTCCAATAACCTACATAGTGGTTGGTATAGTGTAGCGAATAACACCTCTGCCTTCTACGCTGTAGAGTGGGGTTCAATCCCCGCCTGGGTGAGCACCCTACACTATACCAATAACAGTTCTTGGGCAAGACTCCTAACACTACCTTCACCTACCTGTGTAAAATGATCAAATTGTAAGTCGCTCTGGATAAGAGTGTCTGCCAAATGCTGTAAATGTAAAATGTAAACATAGTATGGTAAGAAAGTTTAGAAATTCTAGCCTCTACAGCCAAATAGTGCATCGTTTATCAATATGGATGTGGCTGAGTGCCGAGTTACTATTTCTTAGCTGTATTGTGCACCGTTGGGCTGCAGGATCCAGTATTTAAATTCCTATGTAGTGCACTAAGTAGGGAGCAGGGAGCTATTGAGATTCAGCCCTAGCGTGAGAAGAGGGGCGCCACTGGATTGGTGCTAAATAAGACTTGTAGTGGTCATTTGTGACCAAAAAGTACTAACAACGTGAAAGTTTTTGCATTAAACAGCGTTGTTTTATCATGTGTACATTGTTACACGACAAAAAGTAAAAAAAAATCATGAAATGACCGCAACGTTCAGGGATGGAGGACTGAATGCTCTTTTCATTCAGCAGTGCATGGTTGCTTGGCAACGACAAAGTTAAGTACTCTAAAGGAATGACATTACTTATGTCGATTATCATTAATAGTAACAAATTCTTTTCTGATAAGTCGTGTATTTTATCATATTTTGTGTTGGCTGCCATTTTATAAAAGCAGTAAGCCACTTGAGGCTGTGTGTTACTGTGATTTTATCACAGGGAAGAACACCCTTCCCATGACAAAATGGCAGTAACGCACAGCCTCTCGTGGCTTTTTGCTTTAGTACATCACTCCCATAGTGCTTTGCTGTTTTTAACTGAAATATCTCATCAGTGCTCTGTGTGTAAGAGTTTAATTGATGTTTATTCGTAGTCCACTATCACACTACAGCTACAGCACGGTGAAGTTTATTCAGGCTGTGAAAATGTGTCTCTTTTTTAACACCAAAATCCCAAATGCCTATAAATCTGCTGCAGTTGGCATAAACTCCCGCCAAAAAGACGCCAAAAATTGCTCCATTGATTTTGAACAGGATTTTTTTCTCCATTACACTCACTCTTTCTCTTACTCACTCGCTCTCTTTCTCACTCACTCTCTCTCTACCTCTCTTTCCTTCTGTTCCTTTTGTTCCCTTAAGCTCTCTCTTTTTTGTTTTGCACGTTCCCTCTCGCTTTTTCTCTTCCAAAGACTCACTCATGTTCTTCTTTTCTTTCTCTCTCTCCCTTCATTTTCCTTTTCCTCCTCTCACATTCTGTCTCTCTCTTTGCTTCTCTCTCCTTTCTTTCTCATGCTCTGTCTTTCCTCTTTCATATGTTCTCTTTCTCTCTCTCCCATTTGTCTTTCTTAAGCTTTCTCTATCATTCTCACTTTGTCATGTTCTCTCTCTTTCTTTCTCTCTCTCTCTCTACCTCTTTCCTTCTGTTCCTTTTGTTCCCTTAAGCTCTCTCACTTTTTTCTACTTTATACATTCTCCCTTGCTCTTTTTTCTCATCCAAAGACTCACACATGTTCTTTCTTTCTCTCTCCCTTCATTTTCCTTTTCCTACTCTCTCTCTCTCTCTCTCACACATTGTCTTTCTCACTTATTCTCACTTTTGTCATGTTCTCTCTGCCTCTTTCTTTCTCTCTACCTCTCTTTCCTACTGTTCCTTTTGTTCCCTTAAGCTCTCACTTTTTTCTCTTTCAAAAACGTTTCTTTTCTTTCTCTCTCTACCTTCATTTTCCTTTTTCTTCTCTCTCTCTCTCTCTTGCTCTCACATTCTGTCTTTCCCTCACTCTTTCCCTCTGTCTTTCCTTTCTATCTCATGCTCTCTCTTTCCTCTTTCTGATGTTCTCTCTTTGTCTCTCCTTTGTCTTAAGCTTTCTCACTCATTCTCACTCTGTCATGTTCTCTCTTTCTCTCTCTCTCTCTCGCGCTCTCTCTTCCTGAAACAAAATGTCCGTTTCTCAGGAGGTGTGCTCATTTATGATTCATAGCTGTGAGATCGCACCTGCCTGGATGAAAGTCTAGATCCGTCCTCCAGCGCCCACCCACCACCTCCCCAGCCTGTGTGTTCTTCTCCTCTCTCTCTCTCTCTCTCCCTCGCTCTCTCTCTCTCTCACACACACACACACACATGTAGAGGAGTAAGGGGTGACACTCCTCCGTTCTCACTCGCTCTTGTTCTATTTCAGTCCACACACACACACCACACAGACACAGTAAAGCACTCGTTAGCTCAGCTGATCTTCTGACTAATGGAGATTCTGGCTTGTTCTCCTCTCCCTCCTGCACCCTCCTTTGACCTTTGACCCCCTGCAGGTATGATGAGTCACCCCCCCATCCCCATCTCGGAGCTGGCAGAACACACAGAGCTTCTGAAGGCCAACGATAACCTGCGGCTCTCCCAGGAGTACGAGGTGACTAATGAGACAGAGAGAGAGAGGGAGAGAGGGAGGGGGGTGAGAGAGCAGGGGGCAGACAGAGAATGGGAAGAGTCTGGAGAGACAAAGGAGAGGGGCAGAAAGAAAGAGAGAGGCAGAGAGAAAGAGAGAGATACAGGGAAAGAGAGAGGCAGAGAGTGAACTAAGGGACAGAGAGAGGGGAGAGAAATGAGAGAAGCACAGAGAGAAAGAGATGATGAGGAGAAAGGGATGATGAGAGAGAGAAAGTGACAGATTAAATAAGGAAAGAAATAGAAAGGAGAGATTGCGAGAGAATAAAAAAGATTGAAAAAGTTTGTGCAAGAGAGAGAGATGGTGGGTAGAGAGAGAACAAGACAGGAGCCAGAGAGAAAAACAAAGAGAGAAAAATGATGGGGATATAGAAAGTGATGGGGTAGATGGGAGGAGAGAGAGTGAGAGAGAGAGACAGAGTAGAAAGGAGAGAGTAAAGATAGAGAGAGGGTAAAAGAGAGACAAGGAACACAGAGAGAGAAAGAAAATAACAGATTGAAAAAGAAGATGAGTTGCAAGATAATTAAAAAGAGTTTGAAAAGCACGAGAGAAAGAAAGAGAGGAGCAGATAGAGACAAAGATGGGAGAAGGCAATAGGGATAGAAAAGAGAGGAGAGAGAGATAAGGGAAAGATGGGTGAAGGAGATAGTAGGATAAATGAGATAGGAGAGATAATGGGGAGGAAGAGAGTTAGAAAAGAGAAAAGGGAATAGAAAAGAGGGTGTGGAGAAAGAAAGGGGCATAGAGAGGGAGATTTGAGGAAGAAGAAGAAATAGAGATGACAGGAGAGAGAGGAAGAGAGAGATGATACAGAAAGAAAGAAAGATGAGGGAGAGAGATACACATGATAGAGAGAAAGAGGAGCAGAGAGAAGGACGTGAGAAAACAACAGATTAAAAAAGAAAAGAGATTGTATTGCGAGACAATAAAAAATAGATTGAAAAAGTAAGAGATGATTGGGGAAGAGAGAGAAATGATAGGAGACAGGGAGTTATGGGGCTAGAAAAGAGAGAAGGGGGGTCAAAGGAGAGGAGATATGGTGGAAAAAGGAAGAAAAGAGGGAGAAGAGAGAGAGATGAGGAAAAGAGAGAGTAAAAAACAGAAAAAGATAGGTTTTAAAAAGAAAAGTCACGAAAGAGGAGAGATTGTGAGAGAATAAAACCAGAGAGCATGCATGATAGACTGGAAGAACAATAAGAAAGAAATTAGAGTTTGAAAAAAAGAAACTGAATGGAGAGAGAAAGAAGTAGATGGTGAGAGACGAGAGAGAGAGGGGTAAGAGAGACATAAAAGTTTTTAAAATGTGAATGAGAGAAAAAGATAGGTCAAGTGAGGCTGAAAGAAAGCAGGGAGAGAAAAAAAGAGCACATGGAAAAAGGAAAGATGACTTGAAGAGAGTGAGGAGGAGAGTCTGAGAGAGAATAAAGAAGATAAGAAGAAGGAGTGAGCGAATGAGAGAGATGGAGCAAGGCCGAGAAAATTAGTGAAAGAAAGCAGGACGAGGAGCAAGAGAGTGCATGCTGGTAAAAGGAGAGAGAGAAGAAGAATAAAAGAAAGAAATATATAAAAAAAAAGAGTTAACAAGAGAGACGGAGCGAGGCAGAGAGAATTAAAGTAAGAAAGCAGGATGAGAAGAAAGAGGGTGCATGTTGGTGAAAGGGGAGAGAGAGTGAGAGAGAGAGCTGGTCATAAAATCCAAGGTGACCTTGCTGAAGCTCATCACAGGCAGCCGTCTTGCTGTAGCTGAGAGCCTGTGGAAGTGCTGCATTATACAGCTGATGTTTTATTGAGGACTAGCTGTGAGCAGTTTTGCTCATCAGGGAGGAAAAACAGCAATAATACACTGTCTCTCGTCCGAGTGAGTCAACGTTAGCTGTCCGTTTGGCTTGGAGAGAACAAATCAGCGAGGCTCGGCCAAACGCCGCTCCCCTTGTAGCGCTGTTCTATCCTTTTCAAGCCCATAATTGTGGGAGTAAATTGTTTTTATTGTTGCTTTTCCCTCTTTGTCACAGTCCATCGATCCTGGCCAACAGTTCACGTGGGAGCACTCCAACCTGGAAGTGAACAAACCAAAGAACCGCTATGCTAATGTCATCGCCTATGACCACACCAGGGTCATCCTTGCACCGGTTGACGGTACGGCAGAGACGGACATCTACAGCTATATGGAATAGATTGACAAAACTTTCCCTTTACTCCAAATGTTCAGTCAGCATTTGTTTTTGTTTTCTTGCAGTTAGTTTTACCCTTGGTATCACTGTTGAGTAAGTGCCAACCTGTAGACACAGTAAAAATACCGTGAAATAGTGAGTGACCTCCCACGCAGTTCTTTGTAATATTCTTGTTTCAGTATGTAGTTTCTGTTTGACTTAACTTCAAACTTTTGTATTACTTCTCTAATTTGAAGACCCACCAAAATCCCTTCTTTGATCAGTTATCCTGGGAAACTTATTCTTGACATACATTAATACAGCATTGTTTTGATCTACTGCCTTGACAGATTTCTTCCTCATCCAAATTTATAATACTATAAATGCTTTGGATCAAAGGCATACTACCAGTCTTGGTTGTTAGCCTCTTAGGGCGTTTTTACACTTGTCTCGAATACTTGAATCCGCACCCAGGACCGATTCTGGGCTCGTTTGGCTGTGGGGCCAATCGATTGCACAATTCCATTTATCACTTTTCCGTGCACTAGCTTAATCCGTTTGCTGCTTTTTATTATTTTCGTTGGATACAAACACTCAAGCAGTGAAGAGGCATTCTGTCTCCACTGTCCACAACACTCCTTTCCCTGCCATCATGAAACTTGAAAAGTGAAGTGACACAATAAGTCGTAGCAGTCACATTACAAAATGACACAACCCCACACGTGGAGTGGACTGCACCGGAGTTCACCAGAAGTGAACCCCAGATCTCCGATTTCAGGAGGGCTAGAGATTGGTTCTTTGGACCACTCCTGGGCTTGAAAACAAATTTAACACTCGACCAAATTTACTGAACCTGTAGGGCAAACTGTCCTGGATCTGGAAAAAACTCTAGTGTGCAAATGCTCTTACTGCAGTTTAGCAAAACTAAAGACACCAAGTGTGAGAGCAGATTTGAATTCACTCATACCTCATTTGGTGAGGACCAATCAAGTTTTCTCTTTAGCTCGGTTCAGTAAGTGTGAACACTCCACTTGTACTCTTAAAGATAACCAGCAAAAACTGCAGCTCTCAGTACACTTCAAAGAGAACGCTTGTTCAGTTTGCAGCTAGTGGAAACACATTTTTACGATGGTCTGCACCAAATGATCGTCTTTTTCTAGCGGCACATCAGTGCTGTACTGTCAGCGTATTCTGCCTGCTTGAACAATTAACTCTTGATAGATGTTCCTGCAGCACGAGCTGCTCCTAATAATGGCAGACGAGCAATGAAATAACAGCAAAGCAGTGCATTTGATTTTGGCACATGGGTCATGGAGCATATGTTTGGCCAAGCATCAGCAACCTGATCAAACGGTTAAATTAAAACTGGTTCAAACCTGGTTAAATTGACAAACTGACAAACCATTAAGTCATAAAAAAATGCAGAGAGAAGTGTGGATTATTATTATAGCTTTGATTGTGATTCACATGTGTTCAGCATCTCTATTTTAATACAAATAGGTGTAGCATAATTCATTTAAATCTGGATTATATATAGTGATAGCATAGTGAACGTTAAATGTTCAGTTTTTGGCTCTAATGTGAACACAAGACAGCACTTGTATCCCAGACACATTTCAATGTGTAATTTGGTGCACTTGCAATGTGAAACCAACCAAACCAAATGAAAAAGATACAATGTCAACAAAGACCCAAACTCTGGTTTGGACTTTAGAAAAGGTGTGAATACAAACTGAACTGACTTAAAAATGATGGTTCTTCAAGGGTTCACTTTTAGTAAAGAAAATGGTTCTATATAGAACCATGAACACTCAAAGAACTCTTTGCATGATTAAAGTGTTCTTTGCATCGTGAAAGAGTTCTTCAGAATGTGCTGAAGATGGTTCTATATAGAACCTTTTTAAAATGGATTTTATATAGCAACAAAAAGGGATCCTCTATTGCTACGATGTCAAGCTTGTAACAATAGAACACGTTCTCCATCAATCTGAAGAACCCTTTCATGATGCAAAGAACCCTTTAATCATGTGTAGCGTTCTTTGAGTGTTCATGATTCTATATAAAACCATATTCTTTATAAAAAAAAAACCTTGAAGGTCTTTTTTTAAGTGTGTACATAAAGGGAAAACTGTGTAAATTGGATTAATCAGCAAATTATACCCTTAATACATTATATACCCTTATAGCAGCAGCAGGAATGGTCCCTTCAGGTTTCTGACCATTAAATCTTTTATGAACTGGAATACAGAAGTATACTGCTGCTCTCTTCATCAGCTTTATAGCAAATGCTGTGAAGTCAAAGAACTATCATCTTTGAAATTGTTGCTCCGTGTTTGAGCAGAACTGCCGCACTATAAAGTTTCTGTCTTTAAACTGGAGCTGGCCTCGCAGAGATGAAACCCATGTGCGCACATTTGATAAGAGAATTTTAAGGACCACACTTGGCTAATGGTGCTGTATTTATCTTAAGCTTCTTCTTTTTGTTTAGTGGCTGTCTGGGCGAATGCAAACCTAGATTGGATTCGGCTGGTATAGGGCTGAGCGCTCTGTGACCCACATCACTGCTAATCCTGGACCGAAACGACTCCCTGTTTGACGCCTAGCGCACCATGTAGGGTGCAAAAGCCATTAGCCATTAAGTCCTCTACTCTATGATGCACTAAAAGTCAAAAAGGGAGCCATTTTGGCTCCAGCCCAGTTGGAATAAATAATATGCTGTCGATGGAGATGCATTTTAATTTAAGATCAAGAGAGAGGCACAGTGCGTGTCTTTTCATATTTACACAGCTATCAATGCCAATTATGTCTCTCTCTTATCATTATAGAAAAAAAATCAGACAGCAGTAGCATAATTTTCTTTAAATGTTTATTTAATGGTCTCACGACAGCACACACGTTTTGGCAAATGGCCTTTCTCAGAGTGAAACCATGAAACAAACATTTAAAGGGGCCATAATCTACATTTTTCCTATTTTATTTTTTTCCCTGAGGTCCGCTTATGACATTTGTGTGGTTTTATGTTCCAAAAATGGTCATAATTAATTAGTAAAGTAAACAGGCTGTGCTTTTAAGACTGTGAACATGTAAATCCCCTCTGCTCTGATTGGTTTGGATTGACACACTTCTTATAACTGTTGCCTTAATGGGCAGTGCTAGACTGCTGTAGGCTGAAGAGGTGGATATATGTAAATTAGGGATGTCAGATTATTATGAACAATATTATTAAAATTCGCAAATAATTACATTAGTTTGTGTAGTTAATTATAATGAATCACATTTGTTTGAGCAGTTAGTCATGATTAATGGCGTACATTTATGTAGTTAATCATTATTAATCATATTAGTTTGAGTAGTTAATCGTGATTCATCACATACATTTATGTAATCATGATTAATCATATTAGTTTGAGCAGTTAATTGTAATTAATCATATACATTTATGTAATCATGATTAATCATATTAGTTTATGTACTTAGTCGCGATTAATCACAGTTGTTGTATTTGCTAAATTTACCCACAAAGATTTTTTTTCCATTTAAAAAGAACTGCATTTTGTTATACATGAAACACATGTTCATCAGAAGCATGAAAATCGAATGATTTCCAGAGTGAAAACAGTTTCCAAATTTTATGACTGATAAAGAAAGAGCAACAGTGGCTGCCTGTTTCAATGACTGTATATATCATACAGTACTGTGTAAGTCAGAGACATACATTTATACATTTATTTTAATTCCAGTCAAATAACCAGTAGGTTCAATTTATTTCTTTGGAGATTAGATATAATTTTAGATTAGGTGCAAATTGAGCAAAGAAGCTGCTGGTGTTCTCAGAACAATGGACTGACCACCCCGGAGTCCAGACCCCAACATCACTGAATGTATTTGAGATTACTTGGAACAATATCCCTGCAGATTGCTCCCAAAAACTGCAAGTGGGTCTTTTAAAAAGAATGGAAGCTGTGATAAAGGTAGTGTGGACACACAGTATTGTGTATATCATAATACAGTCAGTGGTTCCAACTCGTCTTGCTCTTGTTCATGCAGCTCATGGATTCTCACAGTGGAGCTTTCTGCTCTGCTGTTGTCTGTGTTAATGTGTTACTCCATAGTTTTCCTGTGAGAACTGTCCAGTGTATTAGCTGAAGTTGCTAAAGGTATCGCATTTAACGTTAGCTGTATTTGAATTAGAAGGCTACAATCATAGATTCTGTCAAAGCAGCATACAGTGTGGTGCAGCTGGGCTTCAGCCTGCATCACTGCAGATGGTCTGACAGGTCAAATCAGGAAAATTCATGAACAGCTGTGAAGAATAGGTGGTTGTAAAAATGTATCACCTTATTAACGCAGTAGCGTTAGGGAATTCAGTTTTCCATGATATGGAAAATTAGATCCAGCATTTTAGAAGTGCTTTCACAAGATGGCTACTACGTTCCTAATCCACTGTCTCTCTGGTTGTCATCAGGCATTATGGGCAGCGATTACATCAACGCAAATTACATCGATGGCTACAGGAAGCAGAACGCGTACATTGCCACCCAGGGTCCGCTGCCAGAAACGTTTGGAGACTTTTGGAGGATGGTGTGGGAGCAGAGAGCAGCGTCTGTAGTTATGATGACCAAACTAGAGGAGAAATCACGGGTGAGACGCAGACAGAGGTTCTTTAATGTGTTATGTGTTAGTGTGGAGCGTGTTGGTGTTGAGTATGATTGTTTGTCTGAGTTTGACAGAGAACTGCTGGTACGTGTGTGTGTGTGTGTAGATGTTTTACTGTGATGTGTAAGAGATGAGGTGTGGAATGAAACATCTGTTTCTGTTAGCAGTGGATGGTGTCTTTGCTCACTGCTATTACAGCAGACAGTTGTTCTACCTGTCTATAGTGTGAGTTCAGTTTTCTGCCTTAGCTGTGTAGATACAGTGGCCTTCGTTCATCAGAGTTGTGGAAGACTCTGATTTGACCATCTTTAATGATGTATGAACTACTGTTCTTCATTCTGAAACAAGTGGCGATTTCAGCATGAATGATAAATCAGATTCAGTGCATGAAATCAAGCGCCTGCCTACCAGCATCTCAGGAGGAAGCCAATTAAAGGCCAATGGCTGTGCCCGAAGGCAGAGTTTGGGGTTGAGCAGTGAGTGTGTGGCACTCCTTACTGTTAAATTACATTACAATTACAATGATTGTGTAAAAATTATTTCAAACAAAATGTGTTTTGTGGGTGGAGTCAGTAGTATAAAACAAAAGTACAATGTAATATGTCTTTAAATGGAACATGCAATAGTTACATCATTTGTTTATATACCAGTGTGCTTGTAAAATGAGTACATCCACAGATTATTAGTAATTTTTTTATTCTTATTATTAGTGTTATAGACAATATTAATAATCATTTGGATGGTTTTATTGCAAATCAAGCATTTACTTCAGGTTGTTCATCTATTACACTATTACACTGTTACACTATTACATCAAATTTACACACATACTCCTACCAGACGTGAGTTTGGCAGAATACTTAGAGAAAGTAGCGATGACTGAATACTGAATACTGTCTTAAATGTATTCAGTAACGTTTTCCAGAACTGTCCATGAAAAAGTAACATATTCAGAATTAATGTAGAATATATTTGAAATACATATTGATGAGGCACATGGGAAAAATGTGCTTTTGTAATTTTTATTTAATTCACACTGTTTCTCACTGTTACTGGTTGACAGTTTTTCACCTATTTTTCTCAACATTATTTTGGCTCTTACAAATCTGACTATAAAGTGGGCAGCTATGATTATCACTTAATAATAACATGAATGCATTTGACTGAACTCCTATTAATCCCTGTAATCCGAATATATATTCCCGGTACTTCTATTCCATTATGTCCCGATCCTATGTAGGGATGCACAATGATATTGAAATCCGATTAGTATCAGCAGATATTTGCTTTAAAAAAATTAAGGGCATCTGGCAGATGTTTACATTTGACCGATATTTCAAACCAATATTTGATGACGGATCTATTTTTACTCTAGAAAAGCAGAGCATTTAGGCGACACTGTGCATTTTATACATATTACTGCCTCCACAAATAAATCTTACATTTCTTTGTAATGCTAATCCAAGTGGATGAAGTCCCAGTTTCTGCATTTAATAAATGTTTATGTATCAGCATCAGCAGATATGTACGCACAAAATATGAGGTATCAGTATCAGCCCACAGTTTCCATATCGGTGTATCTTCAGTTGTGTGTGAATGGCTCTCACTCCCTACACTTATGTGTATGTGTGCATGTGTTTATTAAATGGTCATTCTCTGTCTTTCTGCAGATAAAGTGTGATCAGTACTGGCCCAGTAGAGGCACAGATACTTATGGCCTGGTGCAGGTCACTCTGCTGGACACCATGGAGCTGGCCACATTCTGTGTCCGAACCTTCTCACTGCACAAGGTGAACAGACCCACTGTCAGTTTTCTCTCTCTCTACAAATCTGACTTCCACTGTAATGTGTAAGAAATTTAAAACTGATTAAGCGGTCAATAACCTTTTTTTCTTCTTCTTAATACTATTGACTGCTTGATTATTAAAACATCATGTTACATAATGTACTAAAATTAAATACACCTTTTTACTATATAGTCCCTGGTCATGTTAAGCATAGTTCATAACATCGTACAATTTAAAAGACGAAATTAGTGTTTTCTCACAGTCTTCCTTTAAAGTGCATGATTTTTGCCATTTCTAAAATGTTTTCTGATGTTTATGTCATCATGCACCAGCGAGTGGTAAAAATAAAATGAACCAATAATTTAATTCATCCCCCATCACCCCCCCCCCTTATCCTAGAGCAAAAATGCTCAGCTAGCTCAGAGACCCTCCCTGATACCAAGTTTCAGAAAGACATCACAGTATGGAAAGAAAATGTTTTATGATTCACTTTGACTGCTAATGCTTCTCTATTATACTATACTATACTATACCATATTATATTATATCATACCATACGATACTATACTATACCTTACTATACTACACTATACCATACCATACTATACTATATCATATCATACCAGGCTATACCATACCATACCATATTGTACTATATCATACCATACTATACTACACCATGCTGTACCATACTATACGATACTATACCATACTATCCTATACTATAATATACCATACTTTACTATATTATACAATACTATACTATACTATACTATAATATTCTATACTAATGACCAATGCTAATATTATTATTATTGTTGTTATTATTATTATTGTTATTATTATTACATTAAAAATAAAAATACACTACATCATAATCAGCGGTGGTGGATACATCAGGCCCAGAGAGTAAAAATCATCCCCAGAAATTTGTTCTAACCGCCTGGCTTGTCTAATCAGCTCAAGGGTGCCCAGTCCTGGTGCTGGAGATCTACCACCCTGCAGAGTTTAGCTTCAACCCTAATCTAACACATCTGATCCAGGTAATGAAGACCTTCAGGGCATCTGAATATTAAAGCCAAGTGTATTGAATCTGAATCAGAAGCAAAGGTGCCCAGGCAGCTGGAACAGAATCCTGGGTAGGATTTTAACTCTCTGGATATGAATGACAGACCTCTGATAATCAGCAATAATCACAAAGTACAATCAGAGTTCCTAGAACAGACAGATTGTCACAGCAAGTAGTCCCCCCCCTTCTCTCTCCCTCTCTCTCTCTCCCTGCCTCTTTCTCTGTGTCACACTGCCTGCTTTCAATTCTTTTCTCATTCTACCAGGTGGTATTTCTCTCTGCTGTCTGTCTGTCTGTCTGACTGACTGACACCCTCTGTGTGTGTCTTCTTTTCTGTGTCTCTCTGTCTAATTTTATCTCAGCAGCTGACAGTCTGTGTCTGTCTCGCACGTACCTGACGCTTTCCTCTCCAGTCAGCCTCTACAATTACCCTCCTTCCCCATGTGGAGCGTATCACATATCAGTCTTTCTCCTCTGTACCTCTCTCTCTCCTCTCTCTATCTCACCTCTCTCTTCTTTCTTTTTCTCCCTGCTCTGTCTTTGTCTCTCCTGTTTTTTCTTTTCTCTCTTGTTTATTTCTTTTTCTCTCTCTCCTTTCTTCTTTCTCTATACTTTAATTTGTTGCAATGTTTATTTGCTCGCATCTAACCATTTAATCCAAATGCACACACACAGGTCATATTCAAACCAGAGACTTCCAAACCAGAGCCACCATCCAACACAGCTGACTGAAAATTTCAGTACCACTCTGAAAGAAGCTGCTTTAGACAAGATGCATATTGCCTTCGATTAAACTGTCAAAAATATCGTCTCTTGGTAACAAAATGTCTATGAGAGAGATTACAGAGACAAGGAACATTCCAGATCCAGAGTGAAAAAATGCACCAAAGTGGTGGAAACAGACAGGAAGTGTTCAAAACCTGCCACACTGGAGAAGACTTCAAGCTGTCATCCCAAAGAATGACATGCAGAAAAATATTACCCTAAAAAATACTAAAAATTAATTTGCATAAAGGAAAGAGACACTAATGACTGTCCCACTAATGTTTGAGTACTTTTACTCTCTTTACTAGTTTTCAATTAATTACATCATTTCAAGGTTCAGTTAGAAAATCTGTTCATTTTGCTGGTTGTTGTAACTTTTCTGATACAAATGAGTAAATTATTAACTTTAGCTTGGAAAGTAATAAATAAAGAGGACATAAACTACATTCAGGGAGTGAACCAAGATTATGTTTAAACACACTCTCGTACTGTCACTTTCTCTCCCTTTCCCCTTCTATATCTCTATGTCACTCTCTCTATCTCAGCTAAGGCACATTATTTTCTTGCTCCCTCATTCATGTATGTATTGTGCTCATACATTTTGTCACACATACAGTCATACAAACTCTCACAGACTGCCAGTTATTTTTTAGTTTTTATCAGTTCAAAGTCGAGTCAAGGTATTACTTTGATGTACTGCAGTTTGACTCCACTGAATTATGCAGTGAATGAGGATCAAATGAGTTAGAAGTCAAGCATTTGAGAACGTCTACTCAGCTCAAAGTGGTGAAACCGAAAAACAGCCTTTTTTCATCTGTTATTCATTGCTGTTCATTTCTGGGTGAGACTGTGTATGAAAGCTACCTACATAGGGACCAAGTAACACATGCATAGACACTAGAGCTGCAGAATGAATCATATTTCTCTTGTTATCGTAATTTGTGTCCACAATAAAGACATCAGAAAGTCCCGCAATAATAGAATGGCTGAGATTCATGAAGTCAAAATTAGCGCCACTCAGATTACATTACTGCACCTGACACAGTGAAATCCTAGCACATGGATGTTAAAGCGGAACATTTCTGCAACAGTTTTGTTTTTTTTTCATAATAATTTGCTGTATACATGCTTCTGATGGCACGCTCTTCACAGTAGGCGGCAGAAAAAGGTTTTATGCATAATAGCCACTCACTCACATTTCATGTGCCCGCGTTTACTTGAAAGGCAGCTAGTTCAAACACAGTCGAAATGCCAGTGCTGCAATTTTAAAATAGCTCCACAATGCAAATGTTTACACCTCTTGTGTAAACCCTAACACTGCCCCAGGTTGTGGATAATGTCCATTTATGGCACCTCTATGACAGTGTCCATTAAAATATGCCTGGATCAGCTCCAATCCCGATTCTCCGGATTATCCATCCTTTTAAACCATTTTTGGTGTGCGTGCGTTCACAAATACTCAAGAATTCCTTTATAAATACATTATTCACATGCTGACACATGTATTATGAATTCCCTTTGTATATAGATAAAGCATAACCCATTTCTGTCGCAGTTTGAATTCACTCTGAGAAGTAAATTGACAATAGAATACAGATCTTTTCTATTATAATTTCCAAAGATGATGCCCATATGTTACGGAGCCACCTTGATATTTATTTTGTATTTTATTGTGTCTCACTCATGCTCTCTATCTCTCTCTCTCTCTCTCTCTCTCTCTCTCTCCCCCAGAGTGGCTGTAATGAGAGGAGAGAGGTCAGGCAGTTTCAGTTTACCGCGTGGCCGGATCATGGTGTACCCGAATACCCCACCCCTTTTCTGGCCTTCCTGCGTAGAGTCAAATCATGTAACCCTCCTGATGCCGGTCCTGTCGTCGTCCACTGCAGGTCAGTACAGAGAGTTGCATGGAGACACCTAAACTCACCATTCTCAGGGTGGGTTTGTTCATATATCCAACATGAATGTGGCAAAGGCCAGACAATGTAGTCTAACACATTGATTGATTGTATGGCTGCTTTCTGTAATAATTATTGTTTGATTAATCAACTAATCAAACTCCAAACAGAACTCCAAACAGTTGTTCTTTGTGCATTGAAATGATAGAAGCTATATAGACCCCAACGCTTTCAGCAGTAGACTGCAATCTGACACAATGATGGCATCTATTATATAAACTATATAGAGCATTATCGAGCACTAAGTATATAGAGTTATAAGCAGACGATGCATCAGCTTTATTCCATGATCAGCCCTGTCAATGATAAATCAACAGTCAAACAGTGCTGGTGTAGTTACTCAGAAAGAATAATGCATTATAAATGAATAATTACTTCTCTCAGACTGTAATGGGATTAATTTATTTGCTACTGTTTGGCAATCTCTGGAGTTACTCTCTAAAGCCCTTATTCATCTGTATCACCTTTGCAAAGAAAAAATGAATAGCAAAATCAAAATTAAATAGATATAAGTAAAACAGAGCATAAAAAAAATTGGGGCTCTCTCTTCTTCAGCCTGGGGATCTTTATCCATGAGGTTTGTATTAGCATGACTGGATGCTTGGACAGTCAAGTTTGTGGCGAGTTCTGTCTTGCGCTCACTCACATTCATAATTGAGGTAGTGCAGTCAGCTGTCACAGGTTGCACACTCGAAGACAGACATGGATTTTATATATATCTCCAAAATGGTAACTTTACGGGAGAAGCGGGAGATGGAAAAAACACACTTTTAATGTAAGTCAATGGAACCAGTTTTTTCCAAGCAATTCTTTTGGTCTATTCATCATGAAATTTACACACAATATAAAGGCCAACAGGAGAGTGTACATATATATACATATATATATACATATATATACATATATATATATATATATATATATGCGTGTGTGTGTGTGTGTAATAGTAATATTGTTCTCTTACATGCGTTTAATAGTAGACCTGTCACGATTATGAAATTGTAGCTGCTGATTAAGTTTTCTTTCTTCATGTGTGCAACTATCAAAGTACAAGCTTAAAATGGCTAACTTACATAGATTTTAATAAACCCAAATGGGCAAAATGCACCCAGTTCACTTTCAGTTTGCTGTAGTAAATGCAGGATTGTAAAAACTAACATCAGTGGAAAACAGCTGTAGTCAGTTTAAGTAATTGCAATCAGGCAAATACATAATTATTGTGACAGGCCTACATGTGAGTAACGCAAGTAACGAAATTCTAAGGTAATTCCATTGCTGTAACGCACTACTTTGTACTGTCTTACACTCAACACTGCTGTCAACTAACTCTATAATTGTACTGTATAATTGATAGATCATCACAAGGCAAACATGCGTTGAGAAAAGAAACTGGAGAATTATATTTAGAATTAGGTGACATTTGTTTAGAAATCTCTTGATGAGTTGCGTGTGGTCAGTTTAGATCAGGCTATCCTTGTCTTAGGCTTTTAGCGTACAGTAGATATTCTGGGAGGCAAATTTCAGCCTAATCCCTAAAAAGTCTGCTCTAAATCTGATTAGGATTAAAAGTCAGATGTTGATTTCTCCTCCCATTTCAGTCGCTTATGGCAAAACCTCCTTATCTCTCTGACCCCCTCTCTCTCTGTATCTCTCCCTGTGCTTTGCTGTGTGTGGTTGATAAACTCAGTCTGGATATTTTGCCTCTGGCCCACTCTTCAGGGAGTGCAAGATCTCCTTGGAGAGTACTCTCACATACAGATACATGCACAGCATGAAGTCAGCATGATCTTCAGCTGCGGGAGATCACACTGTCCTCTCTCAGCTGGATACACAGCTACAACTGGTGCTGAATCCGCGAGCTGTTCACAAACCGATTACATACACTAGAAATATAAAAATGTGTTGATTCATTTAAGGTAGCAAATTAATTGCTTCAGTTTTGAGATTCTTTTTTTTACATTTGACTTATTTGCTCAAATATAAAAGCAGTGCATTTTGTTATAGTTTTTGAGTGGACAAATAAGCTTCATTAGAATGTATTTTATTACTTTTAATATTTCAGTAACAGTATTGTTATTGTGTGAATGCAGCAGGGATCACATGAGTTTCCAGTTTTCATCCCTGACGTCCATAAGAGCAACAGTTGAAAACGGACTTTTAACTGACTTGGACTTTGGACAAAGTCCTTTTGCTTTAAGTGACCCTATATCTTAACTATATTAAAATATATTAAGATATATATTTTCTTAAAATCAACGACTGAACATTTCATTTGGTCACTACTAGTACAATGATAATGCCTCCATAACTTCAACAAATATTTTGGTAGTGATTGTTTTGGTAGTGACAATTTTAGCTAATTTTGAGCAGAACTCAAAAATGCTAGCCAGTACATGACTAGCAAACACATCTGTGTACAGCTGTACACACATAAAATCCTAACATTTCTCAAATAAAACACAAAAAAGTTTACTTAATTGCAACAATGTGTTTTGGTACTGACCATTCTTAATGCTACACATATTAACTTTTAAACAATAGGATCTAGGTTGCTCACCATGTATCTATGAGGGACAGGGATGCAGCCTCACTTCTTGGTCTAAAATGCAGGGGTGTGGCTAAAATTAATGATGGGAGGTTGATTCCAAAAGAGTCAATTCTTCTCTTGGCCAATGACTCCAAGAGTCTGAATGCCTGGGGTTGACTCTTCATCTTTGAGTTTGAGTGCCGTGGGTTTGTTTACCAGCTTTATAATATGCCAACGCTGCTCACCAGCTGCTGACAAAAAGTTTTCGATATGTCTGCCTGTGCACTGCACCCTGACTCTGATACAGATAACCCAACTCTCCATTTTCTTCATGATTAGGATGCTACAAACAAGGAAACAAATTGTACAAGGAATGAAAGCAACAGTAAACTATATTTTTCTCAGAACGTTGTGGAAAATAGCATGTAGCTAAGTTGGCTTCTTTTTTTCCCCAGCTTCTTATTCAAATTGTCTCTTCCACTTGAGATAGTGCTGCAGTTACATTCTTGCACTTGTACACTATTTAAAATAACTGCTAATTTAACTGCTGCATCACTTAAAGTGGAACGTAAAATACAGAGAATAAACTTACAAAAAAGTCTTGTGAAAACAGGAACAACATAACATTCAGCTTCTTACTTTAAATCTGACTAACTGGCTAATAATGGTTTATTTTCACAGAATTGTGACTGTAATGTGTTTAGGACAGTTTAATATCTGCTATAACCCTTTATACAACAGTTAGTTCCGGCCACACAAGCTGATTGGTTGAGAAGCGATTTTTCACAAACACTGTATCTCTCCGTTAAGACGCTGTTGCTAAGCAACAACTGTGACAGCTGTAGGAGAGCCATTTGAACGTTTTTACTTCTAACTTTGCCCCAAACAGAAAATGGATACTTTTAAGATCACATTTGACCCGACAGCCTATTTGGTCAGACTCTGAAGATGAGACTACACTAAATTCCGAAACTGTCATCACCACTGAGCAGCTTTTCAGTCGGCAGATGTGACAGAAGAACAGCTAAACAACCTGGAATTAGCAAGAAACGAACCGAATACCATTCGCCAAACAAAATGGGCTGTAAAACGAGTTTAATGTGTTGGTCTGTGTAAGGAGCTGGAGAACGAACTGCCGGCTGTGCAGCGAGTGAGCGGAGCTCGTTACTCTGATGTAGCAACAAGCTGCTTGTTAAGGAACTATAATTTGGCGGAAGGAATTGCTGACATTAAAACATATTAAACGGTACGTTCACGGCCCAATTTATTAATTTCTCACTTTTCTTTAACTGCTGTATAAAAGCAATAGAACACTTAAGGTTGTGTGTTATTTCGTGATAACACACTCCCTCTCGTGTTCACAGGCTCTGGCAGTGTCTTGGCTAAAATTGAGTGGGGTCAAGGACAAAAAAACCCAAAGTCATGGATCACCAGCTAAAACAAGGCTCCACTTATGGACTAAAACTAAAAGGGTCAAACTAGGAAAATGTGTTCATGATTTATTATCAGTTTATCACATGACCATGGTATTAATTTGTACACTTTGACCCTCCTAAGCGTTTTGTTCAGTTTATTTTTTAAAATGCCTTGTTTCTTAAAGATTCACAGAGATGACAGATTCACACTTACATGCACTTACATACACTCAAGGTGCAGAACACAGGGGATCCTGGGGATCCCTGATTAATCTCTTGAACCACCTTAATGTCTCAAAATTAAAATTCTATGGGTGGCTGAAAGTATATTGTCATTTAGCTGCTTCACCCACATTCAGTGAGCTTCTGTCTTTGGTGTTCTTGACTACCCAGAGCTGCAGCACTGTTCTGCCTCAGGGTGGCGCTGAGCCAACACTCTTAAAAAGAAGGCTCTTCAAGGGTTCTTTAGTCAAGAAAATGGTTCTATATAGAACCATGAACACTCAAAGAACCCTTTGTTTGAGTATATAGAACCCTTTTTGCTAAGAATGTAGCAACTACCATTGAAGTAGGTACCTCTGAAAAACTTTACAATATGCCGTTACATATTCATGAAGCTGAAAACTTGCCAAGTTTTCCCAAGAGATTGGTAGAAAGAGTGAATTGCTACTCATTTCTCAACCGAAGACAAAAGAGGAGATCTCTGTGTGGAAGAGTGTATTACAAAACTAGAAAAGTCCATTTCCAAAAGAAGAATTATTAAACTAATCATTTTGTTGCCATTTAAGCTAGCATCAGCGCCGCTATGGCGAGTGAGCAGAATGCCAATACTGGATTAGCAGGCCAACATGGGGTCCCCAGATACCAGGGGGTATTTCGCACTGCATACACTCACTTATTCTTAAACCTGCCTCAGTGGGTCATGCTCAGATTATGGGGTTTGGGGTTATCCCTCCCAAACAGCAAGAGTATCTACCATTTGGGATTACAGAGGAATTAGAATGAGGGTGTCTACCCCCAGTACTGTTTTCTGAAAAATGCCCCCTGAGGCTGGCTTAAGGCTGGGGGTATTTTACACCCGCTTTGGAGCAGCTGAGTAATCCCATAGAATTCAGCTTTAACCACATCTGCCAGGGAAGTCAATATTTATGCTACTGTGCTTCTTCTCCATATTAGATTTGGATACAGAAAGAGTTTTTGATGCAGACTGACTTACATCTCTGACTGCAATGGTACAGATAACAGAGTATTAAATAATAATGTGAGGATTCTTAAGGAGTATTAATTTAAAACAGCTGCGCATCCCAAAATCGCATGTTCATGTTTTTCTTTATATATCTTTCCCTCTCTTCTGGTATGAAAACATTAAAGAAGTCACCCCAGTCTGTACTGTCCATATATGCAAGCTGCACAAACAGCCCATTTTGAATGTGCTGTTTTTCTAATGTCACCAAACCAACTCATGTACATTTATCTGCCTATTCAGCCTATAGCAGTTTAGCCACACTCATTTATTTATTGTTGAAGCTATAGGTATTGTTTCAGCCAAGATGTTTTTTTGTATAAGGTTCCATAAAGGGCAGTCAGAACAGCCATAAGTAGCATAATCCTAGTGTGGTATTGTTAACTTGTTGCTAGTGTTACAAAGTAAATCTGATCTAAGAGGCGTTAGCATTATCGTAATGGTGGTAATTTGATAAAAAAGCACTAACGCTTTCTCACACAATCCCCTTAGTTCTAGGGCAGGGGTCGGCAACCCAAATGTTAAGAAGAGCCATTTTGCTCTTTCAATTAAAATCAAAGCCCCTTGGGAGCCACAACATTTTATTTCCATTTTACCATCTTGTCTGTAACGTTAAATATGTCTCAGAACGTGCTAATGTACCTGTATAAGTTAAAAATATAAATGAAAATGCAGACTTACTTTGCTCTGCTTTAAGCTTTATCTCAGCTGTAGCTGCTTTTCTCGCATCTCTAGCAGGAAACTTTCCTCAAAAGTAGAATAGTTTCTTGTGAAATGTCTCTCAATGTTCGACTTTTTATGAGGCTGAAGTCAGCCTCTCATTCGCCAGCTTCTTGTTCAAATTTAACTTTCGCCAGAATGTAACTGCTGTTCCATTTAAGGTGGAACAGGAAAACTCAAACAAAATGCTGGTGAATGAGAAGCTTCGCTTTAGGGTTTGACAGTTTCTTGTTGCAGATTAAATGTATCAGGAAACCAGCTGGAGTGCTTATAAATGCAAATCAGTCCGTTCGGCTACAAATTATTAATGTTCATCTTAAATCTTTCTCTTTGCCATTTTGTTAGCTACTAGCTCGGTGAGACTCTTGTCTGTGCGCCAACCTTCAGGGTTAAAGGGTGAACTAGCAGTTATACATTAACTCCAACGTTTAAGATCAGTTGTTAAAACAGTGTTAGAATGATCAGCAGAGCTTTATTTTACTGCAAAGGAGGATCATTTTATTTTTACCTAAAAATCTAGTTCTGCTGTGGAGCCGCAACAGAGCAGTAAAAGAGCCGCATGTTGCCGACCCCTGTTCTAGGTATTAACTAGTTAAGTGTGAGGTACAAATTCCAAAGTACTAGATAATTATTTTGGGGGGGGTAGCATGATGGTAAGTTCTAATTAAAATAACAGGTAAACACACAGACTTAGTGTATATACAGCATTTTTTGTACTATTGAATTAACCCCCTATTTTAGACTTTCTACATTATATTTAAAACTGTTATCACATTATAACTTATACTGTACTGTATTATCATGTATACTTTCCTTGAAGTATCGAGTGGCATTTATATATTTTAAATTCTCTCTCTCTCCATCTCTCAGTGCGGGTGTGGGTCGTACGGGCTGCTTTATCGTTATTGATGCCATGCTGGAGCGGATCCGCCATGAGCGTACGGTGGACATTTACGGTCACGTGACGCTGATGCGCTCACAGAGGAACTACATGGTGCAGACAGAGGATCAGTACGGCTTCATCCACGAGGCGCTGCTGGAGGCGGTTGCCTGCGGCAACACAGAGGTGGCCGCCCGCAGCCTGTACTCATACATGCAGAAGCTGTCACAGGTGGAGAGCGGCGAGCACGTCACAGGCATGGCACTGGAGTTTAAGGTACTGAGACAGTCTGCCGTATCTCATACAGTAATAGTCAAAGGTTTGGACAGTTTGCTTGAATTGATGTTTCTTATAATCTTAAAGGACTAGTTTGGTGAAAAATGTACACGATTTTCCCCTGACACCAGATGTAGCTGGTAAGCCTTCGATGTGTGAGGCTAGTGTAGCTAACATATAATGGAGGCTTATAGCACGGTGTAAACATATGCCTAAATAATCAAACACTTGCTTATGGTTTGTGACAAACTAGCATAGCTGAAACAATAGGACTAACCTGAAGGCCTGCATTTTGTCTACGCTTTTGTCCCTTATAATTTGTTTAATGCACAATTTCCTGTGTTATTTCAAAGTTTTGACATCACTATTGTTAAAAACATGGAAAAAGTACTGAGAAAAAGAAAAATGAGAACGAGTGTCCAAACTTTACTGGTACTGTATGTTCATATAACTCCACATTACTCCAAGGAAAGGCTTGGCAATTGTCCGTAGTAATGTGACAATCAAATTTCTATAAAATGTTTTTGAAAATCTGAGAAACCTTTGCTTTTTAGGTCCATTTCTCATAATCAGTGGAAACACATACAGTGTGAAAATCATATAGATGAGAGCATTGTTAACCACTCCATGTTATCCATTCTTAGGTCTTAGCAAACCTTATTCTTCTTCACTGGCCTCTGCTTTCTTCTTTAGTCCTTTATTTTGGCTTGATTTGCAGAACACCTGTCACTGTTCTCTCTGCCCTCACAGCGTCTAGCCAACAGTAAAGCTCACACCTCCAGGTTTGTGACAGCCAACCTGCCCTGCAACAAGTTCAAGAACAGACTGGTCAACATCATGCCCTACGAGACCACCCGCGTCTGCCTGCAGCCAATCAGAGGCCTTGAGGGCTCAGACTACATCAACGCCAGCTTCATCGATGGATACAGGTAATGTACAACACTTTCAGACTAAATTATTCTCTTTCTACAGGCCCCATAGTGGCCATTTGACTCAGTCAAATAAAATAGTTTTCCCTGTAACTCTGTAATCAGATTAACTAGGACGCTGTTGACTCTAGGTGTGTAAAATGTTGTGACTCTGTGTTGAGCTGCTAGTGAGCAATGAGGGGTGGGGGGGGGTTAGAACCCCCTGCTGTGAAAACACTTCACACCTCTCCGCAAAGACGGCCGTGCCGAGATAAAACGGACAGCTTAACTGCTGCTTTCCTTGTATCAAACAATCCTGTATGACTGTACTTTTTTACTTTTGTAAATGTTGATTTACTTGCTACAAATCAACTACAAAGACAAAAATCCTGTCTTTTTGTTTTGTAAATCATACACATTTCCACTGAAATTCCATCAGCATTATTGAAGAAAGACAAACGCATAGCTCAGCTGAGGGGCCGTCTAAAACAAATTACATTTTCTAGCGGCTGTGAAAAGGGGTTAATGCTAAGTCATGTTAGAATGTAATGGATTAACAGTGGCCTTAAAGCAATTTATGAAAGTCTGATTGTAGTAATTCTATATGTGTTATTTAATAGCTTTAATGTCTGATATTTGAAACTGGACATTAGTAAAATGTAAAACCTTTCTGTAATTCAGTGTGATCAAACTGTACATACATATTAAACTGGGCTTCATGCTGCACTCAGGCAAAGTCGCTCTGTATAAAGTCCTCTTCATTTAGTATATCAGGTCACACTATGTATTGTTTGCATGTTATGTCTGTCTATTTATATTTATATAGGTTTATGAGTATTTCATTTTTTGGGTGTTGTACTCAACTACAGTTGCTCTTTATTTTATTTTATTTCTTACGGAAGTCCAGAGAGGCCATGAGGTATAATTTTCTGGATTATTATCTTGAAATACCGAGTTAATTATCTTGTTATCTCAAGATAACAAAGCTGTTTTATACGGTCATATGCAAAAGTGTGGGTGCCCCATGACATTACATGTTTGCTAATTTTGTGAAAATAACACACTTCTGCACATTTAAAGAACAATTACTGTTTATGTGCTGAATTTATCAAATTATGAATTGAAAAAATAAAGCATAAAATGTGGCCTGTGCTATAGTTATATATTTAATTTTTATCCAAATGTTAAAGTCAGCAAATAAATAGAAATTGTGCACTAAAATTTGCAGGAAAAGGTCACATTTAAGTTTGTTCATTATAGAAGATGTGTTACACCGTTTGCATTCGACTGTAACTACAGTGATATAAGTAACAGAATCATTTCAGGTGGCTGAGTAAGGAGGAAACCAGGTCATGCCACAACAAAAACGAGAACAAGTTCACTTTAACCGAATTTCTCTTTCACTGTCTCACTTTTTCCATTTTGAGTCAACGAATAACTTAAGCTTCAAACTCCAGTGACTAAAAGGAAAGTGACCAGCAAAACAAGGAACAGAGAGAGTCTGACAGATGAGAAAATGAAAGTGAATTGAAAGTAAAAATTGTGTGAGGGAGAAAGAGGGACGGCTCTGATTAAACGGATGCTGAAAACAAAATGAGAGGCAGCAGGATGGTCTGCCAAGGTAGATGAAAAGTACAATTAAATATCTGTTACCACAAATAATATCTAACCAACAGAAATATATTACGGTTTGTTTTTGATGAGAGAGATGCGTTTTGTTTGTCGTCTTTGTACACATGATGTTTTATGTGCCAGGAGCAGCAGTCTTTCTGCAAATCATGCAGAGTTAAAAAAACAACTTAAGGTGGTCACGTAGTCCACAGGACATTGCGCCTTTAGCCTCCAGAAAAATACAAAGTGATCCTCTGCTTTTCACCACCCTATTATCAGTGTATTGCCTGTGTACTGATGGAGTATTGCTTTGTTGTCCTTTTTAGGCAGCAGAAGGCGTACATTGCTACGCAGGGTCCACTAGCAGAAACCACAGAGGACTTCTGGAGGATGCTGTGGGAGCACAACTCCACCATCGTGGTGATGCTGACCAAACTGAGAGAAATGGGCCGAGTGAGTGACGAATGGCAAACATATTTAAGAGTTATCAGGCCATTTCCTTTACTCTAAAGCTGAAAAGTCACATCTGTCACATTCATACACAGAACTTTAGACGCTGGAACCAAAAGTCAGTGAATTGAAACATATTTAATGATGTAACTAAAGTGTTCCAAAATTCATTAAAGAAAACTTTCAGGAATTTTCTTTACACATGGACAAAATATAAGTGCTATGATTTATACCACCTATATTAGAAAATTGAAAAGGTGTTTCTGTTGTACATCAGCTGTTATGCTTATCAAAAACTGTTGCAAATGGATAAACAGCATTTTGGGATAAAACTCTTCAGTTATATCTTTGGGTAAACAATAGAATTAAACATTTTCATGTGTGTCTCAGAAATCTGGAGTTATTATTGCCATTTTGCTGTACATTTAGTTTACATTACTAATTTATTTAAATGTAGTTAACATAATGTTTTTTACATGTAGTTGCATTTCCACTTTATATCAGCAGGCTTTTCTTTCCACCGAACCAGACTGTATGCACATGAATTACTTTTCATCAATTCAAATATCAAATATGTTCTTACAGACTTATGTAATTGATTGGGTGTTTAGAATCCACACTTTCGACTGACCTTTTCTGGTTGTTTATAATAATTATTTTGTTAATAAAAATTAAAATTACTATGTTTTTGTTATCAATGTCAATTACTGCAACTTCCAGAGAAAATTACTTCAATTTTGAAACGGACATTCTGTTCCAGAGTAAATGTTTTATATAGTATCAAGTGGCTGTGTAGCTTTAAGGGTTTGTACACGAGATATTCATCATTTCTGTCTATATTTATGTGTGTGTGTGTTTGTGTGTACATTCACAGGAAAAATGTCACCAGTACTGGCCGGCAGAGCGCTCAGCTCGATACCAGTACTTCGTGGTGGACCCCATGGCTGAGTACAATATGCCTCAGTATATCCTGAGAGAGTTCAAGGTTACAGATGCTAGAGTGAGTACTGGACTAAACAAAGAGAGCAGCATTTTAAAAGGCCTATTGAAATGATTCGGTTCTATTAAAGACTGTTGCTGATTGCCGCCATTAGGGCTGCAATGAATAGTCAATAAAATTTGATAAATGCGATAATTAAATGTTTCGTTAATGGAAAAGCATTTTGAATAACTGGTACTTTTACCTGTTTTTTGAAAGCACACACATCCGGCATCTGTGTTTTTTTTTCAGTCTGATGGGAAACAAAGATTTGTTTATGAAGCTATTGGTGGGTCATCAATATTGTGCAGCAGCAGCGCATCTAAAGAGAGCAAAATAATCTGCCCACACATCACACAAAACAGCGTCAGCCTTTTTCATGTCCGTTACAGTCCTTCCCTGACAAAGCTGCAGTGATAACTCTGCAGTAGTCAGAGGTCGAGCTGTTGAGACTCTGTTCTAAAGTGTCTGTATTAAAGCTCTAATTTGAGATGATAATTTCACAGAATAAACCACAGTGTGCAGGTTAGTGAGCTCTCTGTCCACAGCAGAAAAAAGCAGTTTAGCACATGTTTGGGTGTAAAATGTTTTTTGAAAGGCTTAAAAAACTTATATATTCTAAAACATGGTTATCCCCTCACTGACTGACAAGATATGAACAAAAATATGTTTTCAGTTTTTAAAACAACAAATAGACAAGTTTCCTTTGCTGAATTTCCCAGAATAGTGGTTTTTTTTGCTGCTTGCTATGACAATGATTGTTTATATAACCTTGCAATATTTCAGGTTTCATTTATAAATCATAATATTCTTTTTAAAATAGGTTTTTAAGTTAATAAACCTTTATTAATCCCACAACGAGGAAATTCACCTCTGCATTTAAGCCATCTGTGCGGTGAAACACCCACATGCACATCAGTGAATGCACACACAAATGGGCAGTGAGCACACTTGCCCAGAGCGGTGGGCAGCCCTATCCACGGCGCCCGGGGAGCAGTTGGGGGTTTGGTGCCTTGCTCAAGGGCACTTCAGTCACGTACTCTCAGCTTAGGAGACTGAACCGGCAACCTTCTGGTCATAAGGCTAGTACCCTAACCTCCAGCCCACATCTGCCCCAAATAATATTATTAATAATAATCATAACAATAAGATTATAAAAATTTATTTTTCATTTAATCACTGAAACACATATCAAGTGAACACACTTTTTTAATTGCTTGGCGCATTTAAATTCCAACATTGGCATTACTGTACATACAAATGGCATCTGAACTGAACTGGCTTATTAAAGAGCTTCTCTGGCAGGTATTTTAACTGTATAGATTTTTTTGTAGTTGTTAAAGCAAGCAGCTAACATTTACGCCCAGTGAGTGAACACAGGAGAAGGCTTTCAGACTTTAGCATGTTCATCTTTTTGACATGTTGTGACTGTTCAGTCAATCTCATTATGTTTTCTCAACTGTGTTTCTCTCTGAAGGATGGACAGTCCAGAACAGTCAGGCAGTTCCAGTTCACAGATTGGCCTGAACAAGGAGTGCCAAAATCAGGGGAGGGATTCATCGATTTCATCGGACAGGTGCACAAAACCAAGGAGCAGTTTGGGCAGGACGGGCCAATCAGTGTCCACTGCAGGTCTGTGCTAGTACTGCAGCGATCTCATAAATGTCAAAATGAAAGTGTGCTGGATTATATGGATGTGTGAAAAAAGCTTTCTGAACTATCGGTGTTACTTGGTTGGCTTTGTTATACACTGTATGTCCAAAAGTATCTAGATGCCCCTTATTAATGAAGTCAGCTACAACCCCTTTTCTAAAAAAGTAGGGACACAATATGAATGAAAAATAGATTGCAGTGATGTGCAAATCATTTAAACTCTATATTTAATTGAAAATGGTGCAAAGGCAAGATATTAGATCTTGAAAATGAGAAATTTTATTGTTTTTTGAAAAATATGCCCATTTTGAATTTGCATTTTGTTTATATATTTTGCATATTTGAATATATTCAAAAGCTCTAAAACACATTTATAATGTTCTTTTTTCTTATTTCAGAACAATTATGAAAGTATTAATTAAATTATTTTGTTTTTAAATATTTTTTAATTATCAGTTTTTATCAAATATTGGGCATTGTGTTAGTTAGGCTGAAGGCTGAGGTCAGTTTAGGCTGGTCATTGATCCTGCTCTTATGTTTTTATTCAAACACTCATGCATATTTGTTATGGGTGAGTGTGAGGGGAACAGAGCATTCATAACGAAGATAAGAGGGAGCTCTGAAGGGCAAAGGAAGGGTCAGGATCATGTCAGCATGGACCGCTGGGTCACATTAGATTGACTAATTAATCAAATAAGAACGATTCATTAAGCAGATGTCAGCTCCACCCCCTCACTTTTTCCCTTCTTTTCCTCGGTCTCAGTCGTTTACTCACTTGGTCTCTCTCTCAATCTCTCTCTCTTTTCTCTTTCTGTCTCTTCCTCAGTGCCGGTGTGGGGAGGACAGGTGTGTTCATCACTCTCAGTATCGTCCTGGAGAGGATGCGCTACGAGGGGGCTGTGGACATCTTCCAGACTGTCAAAATGCTGCGCACACAACGACCAGCCATGGTGCAGACTGAGGTAGACCACCCCCCCCATACCCCCACCCCAGAGTCCCCGCACTAAGAAGATTTTTTCAAACATAATTATGACATTTATGAGAATGTGACATGGTCAGCACACATTACTGTGGCTATACCCTCATCCTATGACTTCATGGTATGATTTATCATATCATATGAAGAATTGGTCAAAGAAATGTCTTGTATTAAGAAAATGTATTTTTTTTTCCAAAATAATGTTTTTTTTTACATACATCATAAAATATAGAAAATGTATCACATCACCCATAAAAAAGTAGTACATAACTTCTTGAATTGAAGTGGTGTATTTTTTTTTCAAAATATCTTAATATGCATCATAAAATGTACAATATCACCCATAAAAACGTAGTAAATAATGCTAGATGATATTACAGAATATGATATTAATGATATGATACATTATTCATTTCTAAATAAAGAAATATTCTTGGGTAAAGAAAATGCATTTTCTTTGAAATAAAAGTAAATATAAATTAATATGCATCATTAAAATATTATAAATACAAAGTAAAATAATTACAATCTTACCTGTAAATAAAGGGTGAATCATTTCTGAATCCAGAAAATCACACATGATGAAAATTATATATACAAAATTCTGTTTAAAAAATAGTAAATATTTTCTTCAGTACTTTAAAGTTTAAAAATAACTTCATGTGCCTCATAAAATATGAAATATGAATGAACACCTTGAGTGAAATGACCTAACAAATTAAGATTCAGAATTAAGTCAGTAATCAGTAAAATGTGTCTCACATACAAAACAAAAGCTGTCAAGATAATGCAGACACTGACCCAATGTGTTAATACAGAATTGTATTGTAACACAGTTGATAAGAATTTTGTCTGAATGTTTTCATTTGGGTGATTGTGGAAAGATTTAATGGCTTTGCCTGATCAATTGTAATTAAATGAAAATGAATGAATTGAGCAATAAAAACAAAAGCAAAGCTTTTATGTGCTCTACAAAGATCTCATTCAGGACAGTGGAATTAACTGCTTGTTGTCTGTCTTTCTGCAGGATGAGTACCAGTTCTGCTACCAGGCTGCCCTTGAGTACCTAGGAAGTTTTGATCACTATGCAACATAAGAGAAGGAGAATAACATTCATCTCACCACCGATTCTCAACGATCTACAGCAGTACACAAAATTAGCTTGTTCCAAAAACAAGCACCTATTAACTTTAGCGTAAAAATGAATGATGCCGTTGCAGAGGGAGCGTGTTGAAGTACGATGACATCGCTGAACGGAAAGCTACGTTTGGGACGGGGAAAAAATGACAAATGACAAAATTACAAAGAACACGTTTTCTCTGGAGAGCTTCCCGGGGAAGTTCTGTATCACACAGCAAGCTTATTACCTCAGTGTTCAAATATTGATATTAATGTCGTGGTCGGCTTTTTAGAAATATTACAACGTGGATGAAAAATGAAAACCTCTAGACTAAAAAAAATAGTGTAAAAAATAAACAAACAAAAAAAAACATTGAAATCAAAAGCCTGGAAAATTGCTGCACTCTTCAACGGGAGTTTTACCCAAACTTTATTTGCCAATGAAAGGGTCAAAAGGTGAACTCCAGTCGGTGACGGCTTCTGCTGTGAGGAAGAGGAGGAGGAGCGTGACCTCGTCTTCTCCTCGAGTCGAAGGTTTTCGGCACCCTAACGGAAGCGGAACTCCTACCTTCTGTGCCTAATGGAGCAGCAACAGCAGAGGGTTCAGAGGTTACGAACTCTTCAGAGGAGAACGGCCGTTGTCACTGACTCATCTTACAGTACATTAGTAATGTGATATAATCAGTTTCAGTGTCTCTTTTACTCCTGGTCGGTCAGAGCGCTATTGTGATTGAACCTTGCCTTTTGAAGAGCTGTCAGATTCGTCGATAGATTTTGTCGGTTTTTCAACGGAGCGCCTGTGAATACTGTTACTATTATGATGTGTGTCTCTCTCTCTTTCTTTCTCTCCCTATCTCTCTCGCTCTTTCTGTCTTTCTCTACAAATATGCTGCTTATACCCTGTGTGTGAAGAGGAAAACAAGGGGTTTGCAACGGCTTGAAGCTGTCCATTCATATTCAGTCAGTTTGTGGTAAAACTGTCTGAGGATCGATTTCTTTGGAAGAAGCAGCAGGTCGATCTGCTGTTTGATCCAAGACTGGAAGCTGGTTTTGTTCAGGCCCCCTGTTTTAGCAGAAGAACCACCGCTTCATCCTGTGGTTATGCAGACCCATCTTGGTCTGCATTCAACCTAAAACTCATAAAGTCCTTGGCAGAGTGCGAAAAAGTTGCAGAAGTTCTACACTGAGCCATTTCAAACGTTCTCCGCAAGGCAGCATGACAGTGTTCCTCTTCAGAGATCTTGCGAGTGAATTTCAAAGCACTCCAGCTTTCCTAATGAAAGCTCCAAAGCTTCATGAAGTTTCATTAAAAACCTTGTCATGCGTTCTCCCCCTTCGCCGCAAACAGTTTTAAGGATTAAGAACGCTGCGTCCCGAAAGAGAAACTCCCCAGACCGACTTGTAGAAGTTGATAGAAGTCAGTCTGCTCCAGTTATTCTCTCATTTAATTAAAAGGGAACTAAGAGGAAAAAAAAACTGTCACATTTTTTCCCTTTCTTTGTTTAGTTAAGGCGTCGTCCGTAGGAGTAGCACAAATTTAGTTTTTGGAGGAATTAGCACAAGCCGTCTCAAACGGAGAAGGTCACGGGACAGTTTTTTTTCCGTAGGTCTTTGTTCTCTTATCTCGATGAGAGACTAAAAGTGAGCCTTATTGTTGTCGTCGGAATATTTAACCAACCTTTTTTTAAATTAAGTTTTGTTGATATTATGCTTGAATTTTTAAGGATATTTCTATTATTTTTTGAGTACTTATTGGAATATAATCGACGAAATGTTGTGTAGTTGGCTAATGTGACTGTACATGGTCCCTATGTAGATTTTTTTTTAATATATTACCTGTGCACTGAATTCTCTGTTAGAGCGTCCTGTAGGAACGTTACAGCACAAGGCCATGAACAAAAAAAGCCAAAAGATGGCCACGGAAAACCTTTCCCAATGTTCTCATCATGCTCCTGTGCCCTGTCTCTCCCCAAATAACTCTAAAAAGACTAGTTCTCCAAAGAGAAGGGTGCGATAAACATGGTTCTGATGATGGTGGCCACTTCTTACCTATTTGAAAATTGGAAAGGAAGGTCCAGAGCTAGGCCTTTAAAGCACATTCATGCTCAAAATGAACTTTAACTACAAATGACACTTATTTACCCAATATATGTATTTATATTCGATTATACCCCATATTTTGTTTTGTTTTGCTTTGATAACCAGCTTTGGAAATGGTTATGGTTCAAATCGCACAATATACAGCCTTTATGAAGATCAAATATCAGCTCTCTTTATCGAAACAGTCTGAAAGAAGCACAGAATTGTGTTCAAATGCACTTTGATTCACAGTTTAAAATGAATAGCGGAGATGAAAGTCTTTTTTTTCTACGAGAGACCTATCGTCCCTGAAGGTTAAAGCACATCTGAAAGATCTTGGAACGACTTGGAGAGAAAAGGAACCCTCTTCAAAACAGTACAACTGTATAAGTACTTACCCAGCTAGCTTTTGATGTACTGTATCTCAGAAACTAAATCCTTGGAAGAAAAAGGACGATGAAATATGTTAACTGTAATTCTACAAAGAGTCGAAACAGATTTTTGGCAAATAAAAGAAGAAAAACAAGACAACAAAACCATCCCCAAGATTACAATGCGTTTTAAGATATTCAGGCCAAGTGCTACTGAGTGTTCACACTTTCAGCCTCTTCTATCTCTGCCAATTTATTTGAAACCATGTATGTAGATATGTTGACTTTGTATTAAAAACAGAATGACTGGATATACAGTACTCTACACTGAGTCTGCAGCCTTTCTTTCCATCTTCAAACTTTCCAAAGCTTTTTCAAATTTGGGCATAATTTAATGGTTAAGATCTAAACAAGTCATTGATGTAAAATGTTTCATTCTAGAGAAACGTATTCAGAATTGTTCACAGTGGCGGTGATAGGAACCAGACGTCTGAAGAGTATAATGCCTTTAAAAGCTCCTTCACAGAAGGTTAGTAATATAAAATGATCATGAATACTCTGCCTGATGCCTGCGACATTGTTTTATGAAAGTTTTGAGATACGATTTTGGCCTAAAGCACATTTTTTTAAATCCATCCATGGTGGAAACATACATGCAGGGTGTTGTAAGGCAAACTAGTCCCCAAAGAAAACTTATCAGATTTTCCACTATTTTACCATAATTAACATTATGTATAAAAATCAGAAGGTTCACTGGTGGTTTGAATAGTACATAAAATGGCTATATTTGTGTTGTAAACATTGCGACCCCTGGTTCCCATTACCACCACTGTAAAGAAATCAGTCTCTACAATAAAACATTTCACATCAGATCTCTGAATGACTGATATGGTTTTACAGTGATAAACAACAATGATATGTATTCCCTCTGTACTCCGTAGACTTCTTGCCGTTAGGAGGGGTCAAGTACACACAAAGTGTAAGATACAGGGTGTCTCTGGGTGTCTGGGACCTCCTAATTCACCTCTTGGACCCTCTGAATGTCTCAAAATCAAAGCTCTGGGGGGCGTCCCTGAAAATAAACTTATGACGACATTAATTAATGCCATCCGTTAATTAACAAGAAATGCCGCTCTGGTCTTCCTCATGATGGCGCTGTTGTAAACTGGTTCACCTAGTTGGACCTTCATAGCCAAGAAACTAACGAAGCACAGAAAATCTCTGAAACCTTTACAATATGCTGTAGCATATCTGTAAATCTGAAAACTCACCCAATTTGGTGGAAAGTGTGAATTGTTAATCATTTCTCTTTGTCTTTTTCAAATGATATATGTTGAATCATGCTTACCATGAAGAGACATGAACTAACAAGTTAAAAAAGGTGAATTTTGATAACAGGTGGACTGTAAAAGCATGAAACTCATGCATTCAAGTGTAAGGAGTTTTGGAAAATGTTTTGCTTTGTGCATCACTTTCTGGTCACAGCAAATTTCCACGGCTTATTTCGTGGGTTCAATGTCTTAGTTATTATCCTAAAATATGGAATATAAAAAAAAAAGAGGAAACTTTACTGTTTTTCAGTCGTATGCAAGAGTTTGGGCACCCAGTCAAATGTGATGTGAAAATAAGTGACCACATCCTCTACAGTGAACACACTTCTACACATTTTAACGCACAAGTACTGTTTATTAGCTGAATTACATAATGTAATGTAAAAAAAGTAATGGTACATTTTGTATTGTTTTTTTATTTTTACTAATATTTTTAAACTCAGTAAATAAATAATACATAAAGAAACTGTGCACTAAAATGTACATAACAATGTAATATTGTCCCCAGTAGAGGATGTGTTTACTTATTTTTACCTAGAAAATCAACAAAATGACATTTGACCAAGCATATTCAAAGTTTTGCACATGACTGTATAAGTATGTATAAACTTGTGCCTGGTGTTGTATAATGCTAATCCTACAGTTGCCCACTAGGGGGTGATACTACTCAAAGGCATGTTCCACTGACAGAAATACAGCAGTCATTGTCAGGCACACTAGAGGAAGCCCCAGGCACAGTGTATTTCCTGCTGTAACACACCTGAATCAACTTCGCAGGTGTGTTCTCACCTTTCAGAAGCCGAGTCAGATGTGTTAAAGCAGTGAAAACATAAAAATGTCCCTCTGGTCTCAAGAACAGTGTCTGAGAACAAACAGCTTGCACAGTTGTTTCAATATATGTACTACCATTCAAAAGTCTGGATTTTCAATTATATACAACCAGGTTGCAGACAAGTGTATAAAATGATTTTAATGTTAGTTGTGTTCAAACGTACTGCTTTCAAATAAAGAGTAAGACAACAGGATGCTGTAAATATGAAATGTTAGATGTGCCTACAGTGATGAACAAAGCCGTACAAGATACTAAAATGTCTGAGAAAGCTGTATATTAAGTTTATAAATATTAATCTCCAGAATTCATCATTTTTCAAAAGTGGAGATCATTGCATTTACCTCACATTCGACTAAGTTTTTGGTAAATTCACCATAGTTTTCCCTGTCCCTGTCCCTAACCCTAAAGCATAATCCAAATAGTTTTTCAAAACTTCTGCATAAATTCATCATCGAGATGTAAACATTCAGAGTCATTCAGAGTGATTTGATGTGAATTCATTGTACATAGCGACTCAGATTTCTTTATAGTGGTGGTGATGGGAACCGAATGTCACCATGTCTACAATGCAAATACAGCCATTTTATTTTATTTACTATTCAAAACAGCCAGTGAATCTACATGTCTCCTGAGTTTTTATATGCAGAGTCATAATAGTAAAATGGTGACAAATCTGAAAAAAAATGTTTTCGTTGGGGACAATTTTGCCTTAAAACACCCTGCATGTCC